ATCGCTGTAGCGAAGACAGAACCTCCACATAACTAAAAATGTTCACCTGTATTCAGTTTTACTTTACAAACAAGTAAGTATCGACCAATCGAATAATACAGATTACAAGATTAAATGATATCATAAAAATGAAATTTAATTATACTGATATACAAAATCCGACCTCTAGAATACCCGATGTCATTGTTTTTATTAAAACATGAAAATGATTATTTTAAGGTACTGTGCGAAAACATAAATATCACAAAAATTGACACAGAAGCGCTAGTACTAGACGCCAGTAAATACGTTGAACTGGAAGTAAATGCAGAGAACAGTAAGTACTTATACTTATGTAAAACCGCCAGCATGTAGGTCATATTCATAATATTGTGACGAGTTATCTTACGTCCATCACCGCGACAACCGCTACAATCGGAACGGACACTTCCACGACAACGAATACGTGGAAATTGTGGAGTTCCCGCAGCGACAAATGGTAGCAACGAATTATCGTTATATATAAATCTCGGATATGAGCTGCTGGTTACAGAAATGTCAATTTTATGGGTAATTTTTTGTCTTTTTTGGCATTTTTAGGTTTAAGGTCATTTTTTCATTTTGGGGGAAATTTTTTGTAAATTTGGGGGCTTTTAACGGTATTTCTTGTCATTTTTGTCCATTTTAGTGAATTTTTCTTCATATGTTTTCTGAAATGTGAATAATATGGGAGCGAAGTGTTATTTCTTTTCTCCTTTAGGTAATTTTCCTGGATTTTTTCGGTCATTTTATAGGTCATTTTTAAAATACTTTCAGTCATCAAAATCCGGGCCCTGCATATTACATTTTTGGGTCATATTTTAGGTCATTTTTCTGGATTTTTTCGGTCATTTTACAGGTAATTTTTTAAATATTTTCAGGTTATCAAAATAATAATATAATAAATAATAAATACCTGGTCATGAGCCCCAGATGGGGCTCGACACCAAGACTTACTGACTGACTGACCGTCAATCGCTCGTATTAGAGGATTGAATACTGAGACAGAAGCCAAGTGATACTACAACTGATAATAACTGTAAAGAGAGTAAGAGTGAGTTTCCAATAAAGATTCGCTAAATCCGTGACCCACGTGGAGTTATTTGTCGCGTGACATACCCAACACGTGACAATACAGACATTCAATAAGTCTTCGAAAATGTGGCAAAATTCCTAGACATGGCAAGCTCAACAAATAAAACTTTGATTCACGAAGAAATTAAGCGGGGAATGTTTGCTACCGTTCAGTTAAAAATCATTTGCCTTCCCGTCTGTGTAAAATCGTATAATTAAAACAAGCTTATGCAAAACTACATATAATTCTATCTCGTGTCTTTTATGTGTGTGAAACTTTGTCTCTCACATAACGGGGAACAACACAGACTGTGAGGGTGTTTAAGAACGTGGTGCTGTCGAAAATATTTGAACTTAATGCCGAGGGCACACCGATGAAACTGACGCACGCAATTTCCGAGAATTGTTATCAGCCTGAATTGAACACATGTTAGTGAATGGATCAGGGCAAATTCAGGACATGGCGACGCAACTCGCGGAAACTGAGGAACTCAATTTCCAGGCAACAGAGCACGTCAGTCTTCTCAAACTTGCGTTTCCGCGTGGTTTCCCAGTATCAGCTGTTCTTTAATGCGCTTCAGTGATTCATTTGTTTGTTAAAGTGGCACGAAAGGTTGATGAAGCTGCTAATTTTGTTTTTGTGCAGTTCACTAAGCATGACAAACACCACCGAGACTTTGCTAGCCGGGACAAATTAGATTTGGCTTGCGAAAGAATTTCGCATGAGACGAAGGAGTCTGGATCCAGGTTAAGTTCTTTCGAAACAATATAAGCACTTAAGTTTAAATCGTCACAGAAGAATGGATGCACTCAGTGTTTTCTTTTCGTATATTGTATTTAAGCGTAGTTGGTTGAGGAGCTATGCTACAAGCCGGAAGGTCGCGGGTTCAAGTCCCGATGAGGTCGTGGAACTTTTTCAATTCGCCTAATCCTTCCAGCCGCACTATGGCTCTGGGGTTCACTCAGCCTCTAACAGAAATGAGTACTAGGACTTAATTAAAAAAATTTCCTGGGGAGTAAAGCGCGGCCGGCGCGTAAGGCTGACCTTACCACCATCTTTGAGCTGACTGTCTAGATAATGTGGGACCCTCAACGTATCATAACCCTATGGGCCTTCACGGCCTGTTACAGGGATAGCTTTACTTTTTTTACTTTATACTGTATTTAAGCACTCTATTGCATTAATATATCGTTTATTTCACATATATTTCCGTCTTAAATACACCTTATTATATAGTCATCCTTCTTCCACATTACATAACATGATACGGCCATCATCAGGTGTCTTATATCTTGCTAAAATTTTTGCACTGTAAGACCAAGGCGTAGGTGGACAATATTAAAATGGACCTTAGAGAGATAGGATAGGATGGTATCGATTGGATCGATCTGGCTCAGGATCGGGACCAGTGGAGGGCTTGTGAGGAATTGAGACATCTTTCCCCTTTAATTCCTTGACTTACGATCCATGATTGCATAGCGTTTGCTCTACTAGTCGTTGCGTGTTATTTGCCGGGCAGTAACGACGTTATCCCGGAAACTGGATAACCTTCATTGAAAAGGGAACGTCTTGTGTACAAAACACGGTGAGACCGACTGTGAAACGACTTGTTCAACGTTTTGTGTTATAGTTACGTCGTTGTGTAATAGTGACGTCGCAAGAATACGCCTCGACGTCTTATTTCACGACAGGGCTCTTGTTAACACGGTAATGAACCTTCAGGTTCCATAAAATGCTGGGAAATTCTCGAGTAGCTGCAGAATTGGCGGCTCCTCAAGAAGGTCTCAGCTCCATTAGTAAGTAAGTATGTATGTCAAAATTTCGTATCGCGTGTGAACGCGAAATTTCCTGATTAAAATCAATTGAGCTTAATCAAAACATATTAATTAACATCGCTATATTTTCCTTATGGTCGTCCTCCTCTCTTCTCATGCCGTCTAAACCGGTCTCAACTATCACCATATTATGACAGGATCAGTATTATTATCTTCCATTAAGTGCATGAAATTAAAAAATACAATCATGCATTACGTCGGACGAACATACACACTTAAGATGATGCGAGCAACTAATCAAGCATAAGTTTCCTCAGTGTGCGCCTGCTAAGCTGGAAACCAGTTGCATGCTTGAAATCGGCGATATTTCTCAGAAATTTCGGTTGCCTTGCGGTTGCCAGTTTCCTTGGTGTGCCCAATCCCTAAGAAGAAATAAGTGGCAGGAGGCTCGAGTGAACTGCATAATGATAAGTTTCATAATTTGTACGCTTTGAAAATATTTGATTAATCAAATCAAAGAGGATATGCAATTCGCGGGGCATGTGCCACGCATAAGAGAGATGAGAAATACATACACAATTTTGAAAGGCAACCCCGAAGGGAAGAAACTATTTTGGAGATCTAAGTGTGGATGGGCCGGTCACAGTAGCCGAGCGGTCTAAGGCATGTACTGCCTTCGCTCGCTTGGAAACCGAGATCGTGGGTTCGAATCCCACTCAGGGCATGGATGTTTAGTTTGTGTGTGCGTTTATTTGTGTGTGTGTGTGTGTGTGTACAGGTAGAGGCCTTGCGACGAGCTGATCACCCGCCCAAGGAGTCCTACCGAATGTGTAAGATCTAGAAAAACCGAAGTGAACGGAGTTCATGGAGGTAGGCCTAGGCCCACTGGGGCTGTAGTGTCAAGGAAAAAAAAAAGTGTTGGTGGAGCAATAAAATTTAAAATTGACCTTGAATAAGTAGCATGGAAGAGTAATGAACTATCGGGTTCATTACAATACGGGGAAACTGTCGACTACCAAGTATTGGCTCCTGAAGAACTGTGTTATAAAGACTTAATTTTGGTTGGAAACGCTTAGTCATTGCTGTTTTGGGCAGTGCGAATTAATTATAAAATGATTGTCTAAATTCACTGTTGTAAACATATCGTATAAAACATTTGCTTCCTGTTTCTAAAAGTTCCTATGCGCCTTAAGACATTTCCTGAGATAGAACGGCGTAGTCCTACAGAACTTCGTTATTTAAGTAGGTCTTCTAGCAAACTTGCGTCGAGTTAGCTCACTTTGTTTAGCACTTGGGCTACAGGCTGGACGACCGAGAAACTGGGTTTCGATTCCTGTCAGGGGCAAGAGACTTTTTTCCATAGCGTTCAGGCCGGTCCTGGCGCCCACCCAGCCTATGCAATGCATACTGGGTCTGTTTACCCTGTGGGTAAAGCAGCCGGGGCGTGAAGCTAGTCACTCACCTCCAACTAGTGCCGAAGAATTGTGGGGCTTCCTCCACTACCCCATACGTCTTCAGACCGTAGTGCTTAATTAATTAAGTACGGGGATAGCTTTACCTAACTTTTACCTTATATAAATTTATTGTTATAATAAGATACAACGGTAAATTCAAGGGAAAGAGGGGGGGGGGTAAGAACTGCATGTAAACTTTTAGTAGCAGAACTTCTTGAACTGGCTCAGGATAACATCTAATGGTGATGCTGGATCTTCGGGTTCTGTTACCAGATTCAGACTTGGTTAGTTTTCCATTGCTATACTTTAAAAAAATTATGGAACGTACAGTATATTAACCACACATACTGCACTATGATTTTTGGATTAGGCCTAGAAAGTATTAAAAACTGTCTTCCTGGACACTATTGGATAAATGGTCAGTGCACACACATATCAAGGATAATCTCGAAAATTAGATTTCCACTAAACATACAAAGTCCAACATTGCTAATAACCCTAACAGCTAATTATTCAGCGGCTTTAAAACGCATGGCGAAAGTGATAATATAAAAACTAAAAGTCTAGGCTTTTGACATTAACTTGACCGCTACACGTGGATTATTACGTGTATGCCCACAATACTGCATCAGAATTACAGTCTGGGACGAATCATAGAATCATATTATTCACACTCACCACAAATATGAGGTTGAAAATAAACAGAAGATACTTTACACATGCTGAAACTCCACTTAAATTCATAGTGTAACGTATATAACCACAATAAAATTCCTCTAAATACCGCAGAGTAACCTAGACACTTCGCACACAGCAAAACCTTCCCTCCCTGCCGGAACCACCGATTACTAACGTAGCACGAATATTCGCGAAAAGCAAGATGGACGGAACAGCTATAATCGTTGTAACGGACTGACCGACGTGTCTCTCTCTCTCACACACACACACACAGCAACTGCGTCACGAGCGATCACGAGGTGCGCGAGCCACGCGTAGACTGCCTCGTGGCGAGAAGGCGAGAAAAGTGACTCAGACTGCGACGACAGGAATATTTCTCATTGATCCTAAATGTCTGTAACCAGCAGACAGTATTTCTACAGAGCACATTTATTGTTCTCTTTAGGGTGTAACGTAAAAAGGTAAAGGTGTTCCTGTGCTTAACCAATTAAGCACACTACGCCATGAAAGAATATGGGGTAGTGCATCCACATTTTCTTGACCTCGGCACTAATTGGAGGTGAGTGGCCAGCTTCTCGCCCCGGCCGCTTTACCCCGCGGGGAAAGAGCCCTCGGTGCCCATAGGATATGTTGGGTGGACCCCAGAGCCGGTCTGGACGATGTGGAGAAGAGAAAATCCTTGACCCTACCGGGATTCGAACTGCGACCCCCCGGTCGTCCATCCCATAGCCAGTAGCTATAGCGACTTCGCTATTCCACCCATTCCCACAACATTATATGTAAATCTGTAATAGTCGTATACGGGAGGGACACGGTTGGAATCTCGGATGACCTACCGGCTATTTTGATAAAGGATTTTCATGGTTACCATCAGTCTGTTCAGGAAACACCGAGGTAATTCCGTGGGCCCCGACAAGGAGGGTATCTTAGCTGTCCTCGGATAAAAAAAAATCAAAATCGAGAAAGAGGAGGAAACATTCCAAATATTAATGATAACAACTGAAAATAGTTTTAAAAAATATATTGTTCTACGCTGAATACCTTAGGACGAATAGTACAAATAATCGTAAATTCTTTGCTTGCTACCTGCTTCATTCTGGTTTCTTGTTTGGCTAATTTTTCGACACTGAAGTTGGAGATGACATGTTCCTCTGAAACATCTGTTAATGTTCAGCCGACTGCATGGCGTTGTATCCCAGAAGATATAACTCTTCGGTCTTATGTGTGTCAACGTAGGTTCATAAGCAAATTTTCTGATTGCTTTTCCGTGTAAAACTGCCCTTCCCCTTCCGTCATAAAATCATGACGGCGCCCGTCAGAGTTACTTTACGACAGGTGGTATACCGCCAATCATTTCGTCTTGGCGACAAGCCGATTGAGACTCACGACCAAAGACTTGTTTTGGCGACTGAACCCTTGCAGCCATAGGCTTTATGTACATATAACATCCTCTTTGACGAGAGGATGGGTTTTTCTCTTACGAGCAAGCATCGCTTTTGTCAAGCTTTCGTAACTCAGAATTTCTTTACGATTGACGGTTTACCGCCATTCAGTTCGTCATGGCACCAAGCCCCTTTAGGATCACAACCATAGTCCATATGTAACATCCTCTCTGATAAGAGGATGGGTTTATCTTTAATGACTAGGCTTCGCCTTTGTCAACTTTACGTATTGCACATGTAACATGTTATTGAAAATTCTTTCTTGTGCACTACATACAAGTCCTCTGACAATCCCGGTTTTGCAAAGCAGATCATGTCTCTCTTACTTACGTGGTCTGACAATAAAGTTCGTGAACTCGCCAGCGTGTGATTTCCTTGCTCAGTAAGGTTTGATGACGTTGGTATATCAGTATTTCACATCTGTGTTGTTGTTGTTGAACTATGGCAATCTGTTTCTGAGTGGCGTCTGTTAATGTTTGAGTGTGTTTTGATGTGCCGTCGCGAGAATGTCGGAACGAAAATTAAATTTCTTATTAAACTTGGCAAAAGCGGAAACGAAATCTGTGAGATGTTAGTGCAAGTTTACGGGGATAATGCTATGAAGAAGACAGCAGTTTACAAGTGACTGATACATTTTTTCTGAGGGAAAAGTAAGTGTCACTAACGAAGAGAGATCAAAAGGCCAGCAACGAGCAAAACTGAAGAAAGCATTGCAAAAGTTCGTCAAATTGTGCCTGAACATCGTCGGATGACTGTCAGGGGCATAGCAGAGCAAGCGAACAGAGACAGAGAAACAGCTAAGAAAATCTTAACTGAAGATCTTGACATGAGGAAGGAGTGTGCAAAAATGGTCCCAAAGGAGATCCCCGAAGAACACTGTCTGTGAGGGAGTTTTCAGCTTGTAAATAATTAACTGTGCTGGAACGCCCTCCCTATTTTCCGGATCTAGCCCCCAATGATTTTTTGTTCCCGAAGATAAAGGAAATACTGAAAGGAAGGCATTTTGATGACACTGATGGCATCAGGAATAATACGACAGCAGCTCTGAAGGCCATTCCACAAAACCAGTTCCAAAATTGTTTTGAAGGGTAGACTTAGCGCTGGCGTTGGTACATAGCTTCCCAAGGGCAATACTGTTAACGCGACCACAGTGATATTCAGCAATGACGTATGCAGCATTTTTACCTGATGAGTTCGCGAACTTTATTGTCAGACCACTTATGCTACAATGGCAGCTTAGTCACTTGAACGGTTGTAAACTTGACCCCCGCCAAGTTTAAGCCTCTTATATTTTGTACGTAACTCTCACAAATTGTCCTGCATACATCTCGTCATGGACCGTACAGAAAACGCAGTGATTACTCTGCAAGTGCTTCCGGCATACTTACAGGATTATATTGTATTCCACAATCATATAAATAACATAACAACAGGGACGAAGGCACCGCCATGAAATCGATTATAGGTAGAAGTAAAATTACTATAGGAATTTACAAATGCTGTGCTACTAATTTATGAACTCATACCGTTGCTTTCCAAGGAGGGTGAGCATACCATAGCGATAACAGATGGTCTTGTAGGCACTGGGTATGTCGTGGGGTTATTTGTCTGTTATCGCGAAAAGTTTCTCTGTTATTAAACATACACAAAACGTTCGGAATTCCAAGATATTTTGAAAATTTCGTAGGCGAACTGGCTCAAGATGCTGTCAAATGGTGGGCTTTAATATTTATGATGCTGAAACTTCGAATTACTTATTATGGAATTGCATTAGCATTAGACTTCCTAAAAATTAGGAAGTTTCAAAAGAGAAAACGGGCTGCAGCGTGGTTTGTTTCATGGATAAAACGATGGTATTTAGTTCTAAAAGTTTCCTTGAATGTCTGAACTGAAACAATTACATAAATTTGGCGTGCAAGTTTTTGATATTCTATTGCAATAATTCGTTTGTCAGCCCAGCAACCTTTAACTTTCGCGCTGCTGGGTGAATCATGTTCACATGTTCGCTCTCCGGTTTTATGTTTAAATATATCCTGCAATGTACTTGCGCAATAAGAAGCAGATCGAATGTAAGCTGTGCATAATACTTGGTACAATAAATATATTAATTACTACATAAATGTTCTAGATATTTGAATAAATGTGATATAACTTCTATATCAAAATTTGAATAAACCAGGTTCGCAACTACAGGTTGCTTTAACAAGTAATTAATACTAAAGTAGTGCGCAATGTTATGTTATTGAGTATGCATGCGTATTAATACAAAATTTCAGGGACTTGTTGTTTGACATTAGTTGTGTGGCAATCGTTTCTGAGGAACTGCAAAGCGTTGTAGAGAGTAAGTTGAATGCGGAAGTATTGCAATTTTATAAGAAAAAGAGCGAACCTGTTGCATAGTTTCATTCGAAAGAGCGAGAATTGCTACTTCTACAAATTTTCGTTTCAGGTTTAGTCCGCAGAGGAGATAATCAGGTGTTAAAAATGGTGTCTGGAGGCATGGCATGTGTGAAATACTTGCTGTTTGTTTTTAACCTTGTATTTGCAGTAAGTATGTGAACTTATATATATTGCCGTTTAAACGCAAAAGTGAAGCAATTTGATATGAGCTGTGTAAAAATGTTGACTGAGTAGTTCTTAAACTGTATTTTTACATTTCAGATATCTGGCATTGCAATTCTTGCAGTTGGTGCCATTATTCAGAATTTCTACTCAAATTACACGGATTTCCTTCATGGCAAGTTCTTCGTGGGCCCAGTCTTGCTCATTGTTGTGGGAGTTATTGTTTTCGTGGTTGCGTTTTTTGGTTGCTGTGGTGCAGTTAAAGAGAACCACTGCATGATCATGACAGTAAGTCTATGGGACCTATTACCTCAGTGCATGATTTCTGCCTTAAAAGTATCGTTTTTGAGGTTTTCTTAGAATAGGATTAGCTTTAGCCATCAGGTTATTGTTAAAATAATCTGTGACATGAATTCAAGTATACTTAAATTCGGTGGATTTGAAAAGAACTTGAATTTACATTTTTATTAAATTTTATCCATTCATTTCTGATCTCTGGTCTCTGAACAGTTGTTGGAGTTAAGGTCTGTTAGTGATTACTAGACCCAACACAAGTAATATAACTTGGCCCATTAACATATTTTAAGTTATAGAACTGTGACCTTGTTTTTAAGTACAATCATGAAACTTGTAGTTTGCTTCATTTCTGCATTTCTTTATGATTTTCAGCAGTATCAAACATGGGTTCACACAGAAAAGTTTTTTAATGAGAGATGATATTTTGTTGGAACTTTATGGAGGTCATTTTCCTGGTACATCCAGTGATGAAAGTGCTGAAACAAATCCTAGTCACTGATATAGCAACCACTAGTTCATGTAAATTGTTTTGACCTTGTCCAGTTTTTTGTAATTGAGAACAGTCTTGCAATACAGATGATTTTTCATCTGAAACTAGCATTCACTTATAAGCTGTGTTGCGTAAATGTGAAAGTGAATGATCTTTACTTTCTTAGAGCCACAGGATTGAATGTAGAGTCATTCCATGCCAAATCAATAAATGCAAGTAGCAACTGAAGTTTTGATTTTTGTGGAACATGACCTGTTTATAGGCTGTTACAGTGTAAGTTTAACAGCAAAATGCTATGTCCAATAACACAGTCACTTTGAAGATACAGAATGCTGAAGCATATAAGACACAGATCATTCTTTGTTAGGTAGTAGCATGACTTCCATCATCTGGCTGGACAGTGGCTTTGCTAGTTGGGTAAAAGTAAAGTAAAGGTATCCCTGTAACAGGCCATGGAGGCCCATATAAGGTTGTGAGATGTTGAGGTTCCCACATTGTCTAGACCAGGGGTCTCCAAACTTTTTGAACTGTGGGCCACATTAGGTAATTCAGCACTTTCAACGGGCCAGACAAAATGAGAAATTAATAAATCTAGGTATATGAGTTTTATTGAAAGCACAGAATTTCATAAACTAAATACAAAGTACGTGAGAATAAATTATCATATATTAATGACAACAGACAGTAGCAGCAAATGCTCATATTTTCATCACAAATTATAATAAAACAATTAATGTGAATGATGGAACTCTTTTTCCATTCTTAAAATCTGATTAAATTGAGGTTCAGATTTTGGAAGTATAATCACAAGTAGTGACTTTAAATGTTCATCGGATAAATTTGCCCTGTATTTCGACTTGATGTACTTCACCTGGGAAAAAGTTTGTTCACACAGATATGTTGTCCCAAAAATGGAGATAAATTTACAAGCAAATTTCTTTAAATATGGAAATTGCTCAGAGTTCAGAAATTTATAAAATTCGATCAAATTTCCTTCCTTGCATTTGTCTTTAATATGACAATTTTCCTGAAGTTCAATAATTTCCATTGGAATTTGACTTGGGACATCTGCAGCATCACAGTCAAATGGATTTTGAAACAATCTAATTTCCTGAGCACTGGAATCCAAATCAGCAAATCGCTTCCGAAATTGTTCTTTCAAACCTGAAATGACTAAATTTGCAAATGAGGAAGGAAATTGTGTTTCACACTTTTTATGCAGCTCTGCACAGTATAGCATATGAACAAAGTTACAATTTTTCACTGGGCTTTCCAGAAGTATCAACTTTGCTCTGAATGCCTTGATAAGTGCAAATAAATCACAGACTAAATTATTTTCACCCTGCAACTTTAAATTCAAATGGTTCATATGGTTCACCAGATCAGCAAAAAATGCTAATTTCCAAAGCCACTCGGTATCTGATAAAAGTGTTTCGTGAGGGTTTTCTCGGTAAGAAATATATCAGTTTCATTCCTGAGCTGAAAGAAGCGCGAAAGAACCTTTCCACAGCTAAGCCATCGAACCGCAGTATAATATGTCAGGTCAATAAGCTCAGAATCACATTTACCAGTACTCACTGGAAAATTAGTTCAATTGGCGCATTTCTGTACAATTCTTTCGTGGGCCGGATAAAATCACATCGCGGGTCGTAGTTTGGAGACCCTTGGTCTAGACAATCGGTTCATAGATGGCGGTAAGGTTGTCAGCCTTATGCACCGGCCAGACCTATACCCCCAAGAAGATTCAAAGAATATTCCTGGTACTCATTTCTGTTAGGGGGCATGTGGTAGCGTAGTGGTTGAGGTGCTAGGCTACAAATCCCGATGAGGTCATTGGATTTTTTCAGTTGACCTAATCCTTCCAGTCGCACTAGGCCTAGGGGTTTACTCAGCCTCTAACAGAAATGAGTACCAGGAATTAATTAAATAATTTTCCTGAGGAGTAAAGCACCGCCGGCACGTAAGGCTGACAACCTTACTGCCATCTTTGAGCCGATTGTCTAGATAATGTAGGACCCTCAACGTCTCACAATGCCATGGGCCTTCAAGGCCTGGTGCAGGGATAGCTTTATTTATTTTTTTTTTTCACATCCGTTAGAAGCTGAGTTGACCCCAGGGCCAGAGTGCGGCTGGAAGGACTAGGTCAATTGAAAAAGTCCACCTCATCAGGATTCGATCCCGTAACCTTCCGGCTTGTAGCATAGTGCCTCAACCAATTATGCTACCGCGTGCCCCTTGTTATAGCAAGTGTCACGTAACTTCGAACAAGGCCAAGAATTACCTTGAATGCGCAGAAGAAAAATTTCAGACAAGGGGGTGGAGGGTGTGAGAAGTAACGGGCGGCCAGTGGAAGAACGAGTGTTAAGAAACTCCTCCAACCACAAGCTATGTGCGGGATTTGACTAGGAATGTTCGAAATTACGTGGCACTGTCTATAGTTGGGTGAGCAACTTTTAGTGGTTGCTGGCATGGGTAACCTATCTCTTACAGAGAGTTCTGTTTCCTGGGATGTATTCTCATGTAGTCCTTTGAAAGTCAGGAAAGTGTTGGATTCGTCTGCAAGGTTGAAGAAAAGCCTTCTGCTTGTGTCATGCTGGTATCTTGCTTGTCGTACTCTTCATCACTGCAGGTGCAGGCAGCATGTTCCTCGGAAATGGTGGCTTACTTTTAGTGGTCTGCACAACGTTGTATCCCAGAAGATAGAACTCTTGATAACCACCGCCTTGAGAACCTCAAATCCTACTGTCTCATACAGCTGGTTTTATTGTTTTAATGTCTGTAACTGAGAGTGGGGTTTCAGAATTAGTAATGAAATAAAGGCTATGCAGTAAATATTCTTGGTGGCCTAGACCAGTGGTTTTCAACCTTTGTGAGATTGTGACCCAATCAATTCTTCTTTTATAAGACAAGGGCTTGGTATAATTGATGCCAGGACATGGTACCAGGTCGTGACCTGGCTGTTAAGAAACACTGACCTAGACTATATTTGTTCATACTACACAATTTAGAGTGCAACAATATGTCATCTAATCATGAACACTTTGTTTCTGTCACTGTCAGACACAGATCAGTGAGAAAGCACCCTATTTCTGAAACATTTCAGATTACCGAATTTTTTCTCATGTGCCATAACTTGCTAGTGAAAGGCTGCTTAAATTTGGAAAACACTTTGTTTGCCCATCTTAGAACATTCTACACCATTGTCTTACAGTTCCTTCACTCATTACATTTGGCTGTAAACTGCTCATAATTAACATTTTTTTAGTACATCTTGGGCAATTTGAATTGATGCTACATTTTTGGGATCAAATGTATTCACAAGATTCCTTACTTTTCCTAAATGTTCAGTATAATAACTCACTGCACACAGCCACATGCCCCACTGCATTAAAATTTGTTCTAGTGGAAGAGGAACATTCGGTGCTACTGCTTTAAAGGATAATTTTCTATATGGTGCTTTAACAAAGACTTTCTTCACAGAAGACACCAACCTGTCAACACTATTTTCAGCTGTAAGATCGTAACATTGCTTCATGTAGTTTTTGTGCGTAGTAGATTCATACAGCACTTTTCACTGTGTATATTTATCTCTGAAGGTTCTTGGAGTAGGATTGGTTAGTTTTCACAGCAAAATATCCGCTGCTAAAAAGGCTTCACACAAGTCAAAGGAGAACTGAAAAACTTCTTAGAAAATTAACTAAGAAATTTTTGAACAGGAACACGTTTCATGTATTTAATTTTAATATTCTCTTTGTGTATATTAGTGTTCAAATGCTGAAGCACTTGAAAGCATTTTTCACAATGGTTATTTTTTCACACGCTCGGCTATAAAGAATTTTGTTATCTGTAGTCATTTCTCCTTTGAACTCCTGCTGATACAACTGTAATTTAGTTTTCTGACTTACTTTCACTTTTGGCATGACTACAAAAAGCTAAACAAATTTAACCACAGACTAGTCACCACTAATATGAATGACCCCCAGATCCAAATGAAGGAGTGTAGCAAACCTGATGGAGACTTCGTAAATAAATAAATATATGAAGTCCATTATCACTTGACTAGTAGTATGTTGTTAACAGCTAAATTTGAATATGTTTCTGACTAGTCCCTTCACAGCCACTTTGATGGTAATGCGGATGAGGCAAGTTACGAGTTGAGGGATTGGGGAAGTCCAGTCTCGGGGAGTCCCACAGTGGGTATTGCGTCAGAAACATGAATCCAGTCTCAGGTTGCTATTTGTATGATGAAATGTTGTGAGTCAAATATGCAGCATATCCTAATATGGAAAAGAAAAATTGTATACACATGACGATGATTGAAAATTTGAACATAAAATTAAAAAATATATATAATGATAAACATTTAAAAAAAATGTAGCATAAATAGAGATCTTTGAAAATATTATACTTATTTATAAAACATGGAAAATATGTATTTATATGCATCATCAAATAATGTCTGAAATTTATGAAATGAAGTAATTCATACATATATTCAAATGAGCATACTTTTTGATTGCAAGAAAGAAATATGCATTTGCATTAAAATCTGGTCCATAGTAATAACTCACTCCTTAATAATAGGACTTAAGATGAAATCCCACTTTTGGACATGATCCTGAGCCAGTCTTCATAGAAGCTTAATTTTTTGTGGTCAGTAGTTATTTATATGCCCAAACCCACAGTTGGAGGACCATGCCTTGTATTCTGTTTATAATTCTTTATTTAATGTACTCAAGCCATCCTCTATGCCAGCTCCATTTGCAATGCAAGTCTTTTGATATGGCAAGGGAGTCGCACAATGTAGACACACATCATGGAACAAACCATTTCATTAATGTACTGAACAGTTGAAGAGTGTGCTTCTTTGCAGTTTGCAGGTTTGCTCCTGGTTGTCTTTGGATTGGAGCTAGCTGGTGGCATCACAGGCTATGTGTTGCGAGATGATGTTGGGGATATGCTGCAGAATACTGTCAACAGTTCAATGAGCAAATATTCATACAACAAAGAGATTACCAAAACCTGGGACATTATGCAGCATGATGTAAGTACAGCATGACCCAGTGTAAAGTAGCCCAAAAGATGGCAGCATCTCTTTGAGTTCAGGTGCACAGAATATACATGTTGGAGAGAGCTGTGTCCATTATTGGGAATTTGCTGTAGGAAATAATGTCTGTCTTCTGGAGGTGATTCAGTCGAAGGGGAGCCATGTACAGGCTGAGGAACAGTAGAATTATGTTTATCTACAAGATGGTCTATTAAAAGAAACCTGAATTCTGGAGGGTCTAGTCAATTGTTGTTTGGCATGGACCTGTATATTATCATGGATTACATTCATGTACCTCTTAGAACTTTTCTTCACTCGAGCAAATAAGGCTATAGCAACTGATCTGTGAGATAAACTACTCCCATGTTCAAATCATAGTCACACACAGCTGCAAGGTTTTCTCTCTTACTTGTTTTATTTACTTGGAAGCGCATTTCAACCTTGTGATATGTAGAAATCATAGGTGTTCTTTTCTTGTCTCCTTTCCCTCTCTCTCATTTTCAATCTTTTGTACTGTATGGAGGGGAGCTGGGCATTTTTCGTGTTGGCATGAAATGTGCCTATGCATGTGTGCCCTTGGATTCAAGAATTGAGTCAACTCTGATTAGTTATAAAAATTCTCCATCCAGAGAGAGTGGCCTTGATTGTGATGTTTCTCTAGCTTGATAACAGTTACTATTTGCAGACTGATTTGTGTCATGCCTTGTATAACACCAAATTAACCTATTGTAGATAACAGAATTCAAATGTCTTTATACCAAACTTGGCATGTAATGCCAGAATGATAGATGACTCTTTTGCAGAGTCAAAGACTAATTTGTTGCTGTGATCTAGTTCGGAACATACAGATTTTGACATTTATTATTCATGTGCTGAATGACTGGGTATATTGTTAAAACTTTTTGTGAGGCCTTGGTATTCACACCTTTTACTGTTATCAAAAAAGTGAATGAATTTTGTATTGGTTCCAGCCTTTCCATTAGTAGAGTTTCCAAAGAAAAGAAAAAAAAAATACTAAGTGAGTAGGAGCTGTAATACCTTGAATACTATAACCTAAATCTTGGCTTTTGTTCTGTGCTCATCAACATAAACATAGCTAAACCCACATGCATTTCATTGACTGTGACATTTTGTCACTTCCTAATTCTAGAAGGAAATATGAAAGGACCAAACTTTTTGAAACTTTCTTCTCTGTTTATTTGTTCATTCCATTAATATTACCTGCATAATAGCTATATCAGAATTATTTTCGAATATGTACACTATATCCAAATTATGTATTTTGAACTGTGGACCATGGATACCACAAAATGTTTCCTGCACCACAGATAATATGTCTATTGTCACATTTTATAGTGACGCTCGGTGGGATTTTTGTTTCGATTTATTGACCACTTTTACACACAACTCATGACTGCACTTAATTATACTGCCATTGCTAGTTTCAACACTTTACAAATCATTATGGTGCACACTGAGTCTTTACAGTCTGTTGTGTCTTCACTGGTTGTTCCCTGGTAATGGATATTAACAATGGAGATTCTTCAACTGTACTGACAAAATCTTCTGTTCACAGACTCCTGTACTACTGACTAACTTCTAAACTTGTCTCTTGCTTATAACATCATGTCACGGACTGTATAGAAAATACCTCTCATTATTTTACTCTGACTGTTTTCATTGTAGTACGTTTGTTTGCAAAGGCATTACTCGGTAATAGTTGTGTATACTTGCTGATAGGAATCTGTTACCTAGAAGCAGATGTTTCACTGTTTGGTTCGAAGTCATTACCCCAATAATGGCTCTACATGCTACAATATCTTGCTACACAAACTTCATTAACGCCCTTCCCATTCTTTCACTTTGTTCTTCAACACATGTCACAGTTCTTTGTTCATCATTGTTATTTCCACTGTGACTATCACTTACTAATCTTGTATGCACCAGGAATCGCTAATTAGGTTATTTCCACTGTCACTCACTAATTAGATATAATCATCATTACAGTCACTTTCATTAGCTAAATACATTTCCCATATTATCATTGTACCAATTGAACTACATAAGCAGATGGCTGGTTGAGTGGCCGGTCATAATGACTGATGTCATGTTTAGATCAGAGTTAGTCATCTGCACAGTGTAAAAGGTCTTTGATTGTATAAACAAGGGGTTCACTTATTTCATTATAGTGTGTTGAAACACCATTAGTGTAGAATGTTTCATCACCTAGAGGACAGAGAAATTAAGCATGCAGCATGATGTATAGTATACAGGAAACTGCAAATTGGGCATTTAAACTTCCAGTGCAGGGCATACATGAAACAGCACAGAAGGGTTAATTGTAGGTGTGAGAGGGAGTGCTTTTATTTGGTCCATGCTCCAGCTGTTTAGACAGATACAAGTTGCCATTTATGAATATATGTATGGTGCAAACAGAAAATTTTTGCTGGTTATTGCATCATATACCAAGTAGGTTCAGAATCACCGGATTTTTTAACTTTACCCATTGTCGAGTATTCTAGAAAACTTAGAGAACACAGTGTTTCAGAACCCTTTAGAATCTGCTAAGTATATTGTAGATTACATCTGTCAAGGCCTTTTTAAGTATTCTAGTGTAACAGTATTACAGACCTCTTGTGTACATAGCTTGCTTGTGATGTGTGAGGGAAAAAGGCAGACTAAGCAGGAGATCCGGTTACATCATCTTGCTACAGTGAAACTTCCTTAGACATATAAAAGTAAAGTAAAGCTATCCCTGTAACAGGCCATGAAGGCCCATAGGGTTGTGAGATGTTGAGGGCCCCCACATATCTACACAGTTGGCTCCAAGATGGCGGTAAGGTCAGCCTTACACGCCGGCCGCACTTTACTCCCCAGGAAAGTTATTTATTTAATTCCTGGTACTCATTTCTGTTAGAGGCTGAGTGAACCCCAGGGCCATAGTGCGGCCGGAAGGATTAGGTCAATTGAAAAAATCAAATGACCTCATCAGTATTTGAACCCATGACCTTCCGACTTGTAGCATAGTGCCTTAACCACTACGCTACCACGTGCCCCCGCCTTAGACATATAATTTAATTTTTAATTCTTTATGCCGCATTTAAGTGGTTTGCAGAAATTTATAATCTGCTGTGCATTTTTTTGAGCTTGAAACACAGGACATTATTTCATTTTCTTATCCCATTAAACAGTATGGTGACACATAGAAGGAGACAGCCACTTAATGCTACCATCATAATCATATAGAGTGTTATTTCAGGGACTGAGTCACCTGGGGAAGTAAAATGTCTGGTCCTAGTGTATTGGAACATGAGCTGAGACTTGGTAATAACTTATGCTTGCTCTTTAAAAATATTAATGAATTTATCTAACCACTGGTTGAGGACACAATGAATGCAGCAGCATTTGTCACTTGGGAGCAGCTGTATGAGAAAAATGCACACCATTTTTTGTTTGTGATACTACAGTAGTGTTTATTATTCAGAAAGGGAAACAGTTGTGTTTTATGTGAACAGTGGTGTATGGTAGTGTTACTCCAGCTCTGGTTTTCAAGCGGCAGAAACTGGCAGAGGAGTTAGTATATTAGTGATATGATAAACCTTGAACAGAAAGTATTAAGTGCCATGGTACAAGGTCTCCCTTGTTGTATTGTAGACTTATCCAGTGCCTGATATATTCTCTAGTGTAGAACGTAAGTCTTCCTAAAATCACCACTGTTAGTTTCTGATCTGTCTTAACCCTTCCGCGACGGATAGTATTTAAATCTTTTCCTACCGCCAAACCGACGGGGTATTTAATTATTAAACAGAAAAATGCACTTATCCATGAAAAATTTAGTAACTCTCGCAAAAATAGGTATATTGAGATAAAATTTTCACAGAAATATTCATAATGAAATGAAGAACAAAACTATACATATATATTTTAATATAATAATGATAAATAATATTTTTTTACTTACTCGAACTGCTAAAAGTTGAGTTTGGTGTGGTAATCCTGAAAACACTGGTCAATACATAGCCCAACATCACATTCACTGCACCAGTACACGGTTTCTTTTCTTCTTTTGTTTTTTGTACACACTACACATCGCCTTTGTGGTCTAGCCTTTTTTCCTGATGGGGGAATTTTACTAATAAAATGTCTTTCACGAAGCCGGGGGATGGTGTTATCTGATGAATGACGTCGACCTTGTACTCTACGTGCTGCCTGCTCCTGGTCCGTAAACTTCAACAGCAACCCTTCTACCAGATTTACTCTGAATGCTAAGTGGTCTGTCAGTCTTTCCTGATTCTTGTTATAAATTATCATGGCATTTACCACTGTCGCATTCAAAAGGCGTCTGAAGAGTTTCATGTACCACTTATGAAGTCTTTTTCTTTCCACGTTGTAGTACTGTAAAAGCTGATCTTTCAAATCAACGCCACCCATCATTTCATTATAATCAATTATAATTTTTGGTTTTTTTATTTCTTTGTTTCTCTTTATATCTGTCTGTGTGTCGGCATTGTGAAATGTAGAGATCACGGAAACTGGTTTTTTGTCTTGCCACTTGAGAACAGTTATAGGACCTGCGTGCTGAGCTATGATCTCGCCCTTTCTCAACTTTGTGTTTTTTACAGTTGTTGGGACACCCTTTCTGTTCAACCTAAGGGTCCCAACACAGTCAGTGCCATGATTTTTTAATAATTTTGCTAACTGGGGGGAATTGTAATAATTATCCATCCATAGAGTATGACCTCTATGGAGGAGCGGTTCGACCAAATGTAGAACAACAGATGTTGTTTTATTGGTATTTTCTCTGATCAGTGAAGAATTTAGTTGGGTTTCGCTGCCAGTGTAAACAATAAATGACCATAAATACCCAGATTTGGAATCACAGAGTTCATAAGTTTTTATGCCGAATTTTGAAGCTTTCAGTGGCAAGTACATTTTGAATGCCAATCTCCCTTTCCATAGTGTAAGCGATTCATCAATACAAATATTTTGTCCAGGATAGAAGAGTGTCTGAAATTTTTCGTTGAGATGTTGAATGACAGGAAAAATTTTGAAAAGTCTTGTAGGTCCTAGGTAATTATCTTTCTTAGTATTGTCATTGAAATGGAGAAATTTACATATAAGCTGGAATCTGTCTCTCGAAATTACATCAGGAAATGCTGGAGTGTATAGTAATCTTTTCGTTGAAAAGTATGAATTTAGAGTTGGCTTATTGACTATACCCATCAGCAAGAACAAGGCTAAGACCACATACATTTCATTTAGTGTCACTGGTACCCACTGCCTAGCTGGAGATCTAAATGGAAAAACCCTCCCACATATAAATTGTTGCGCATAAGTGTTTGTTTCCTGAACGATATTGTTCACAAAATCCTCAGTAAAAAATAATAGAAATGTCTGTACTATATCGAGCACATTGACAGACTGATTTCTCGGGCCTGAATTTTCAGAAAACCGTTCGCGAACGCCATCATAATTATCCATATTTTGCCAAAAATAACTCTCGTCTGAATCCGCCACTGGAACCCTCGCCACTATTTCGTCGTCATCTTCAATACTAAGATCTTGGATAGCATCAACTACAGCCTGATCTTCAATTTCATTATCACTGTTTTCACTACTATCCGAATATTCGAACTCACTAACTTCCGAGTCGTGAGCAAGGAACTCTTCTAGTTCATCGCCCTGTAAAACTTTCCTACTTGTAGAGGCCATGGTTATGGCGCGACTGAGAGAAGAAAGTGTTATGACATCATAGATTTCTGTATCATTCGTAAGTTTATTTTCTTAGGTTGCATTTGGTTCCAAGAAAAAAGGACCCTCTTGTTTGACTACTTCATTGTGTCAGCAGACTGTACAGCAACCCATTCAAGGAAAACCTTCGTCTGGGGTTTCAGTGAGTGACTCATATAGACAAGCAAAGACCATAGAGTCGAAAGATATATAGTTTTATACATTTTCCTTACTTAGAATTTGAAAAATTTCAATGAAATCTAGGCGCAGTGAGACAAAAGTACGAACTATTACACTAACGATACAAAATAAAAATACCGTGCTAAAAATTCGTCCAAAATAAATAACTCATATACCAATAGAAAGATGAAACCCTAATCTATGTACTCCTGAAAAGAAAATTGGAATATCTTTCCTCGTTTTGTCAGCAACGTCCTTCAAAGCAAACACTGCGCAGGTCGGTGAACTGCACAGATGTCGGTGGCATACGATTATTTAAAGGGTCGGTGCAGCACACGGATGTCGGTGCGGAAGGGTTAATATCTCATCTGTGTAATGGGGCCAGTGTAGTACCTTGAAATAAGATGATTGCTTCCAGATTCTTACCTCCTCACCATTTATGACCTTCAGTCTTACATCTCAGTCTCTCAGATTCTCTCTTCTCTTTTATACAATTTCACTTGCATATTTTATTTTCTTTCTCTGTTAATGTAGCTGCATTGCTGTGGGACAGAGGGACCTGGAGACTGGAAAAATGTGTTCAAGAACAATACTTTACCAGAAACTTGCTGCCCCAGTGTGGATCCTTGTGAAATGGATAGCAAAGATCATTATTATAAGGATGGTTGTCTCAGCATTCTGCAGAATGAGATTAAACACTATGCCCTTCTTCTGGGTGGAGTTGGAATTGGTCTTGCTTGTGTTCAGGTAAATATTTACTCACTGTGAGATTAAGCCCATAGCCATCAAACAGTGGCATGCCATGCATGGAAGCAAGGGAAGCATTGCTTCCATAGTTAAGAAATGAAAAGAAAAGAAGTCATATATAAATAATTCAATTTGAATAATAAGGATTTTAATATTGTCATTTAGCTCACGTTCCTGCTCAAGGCCACATGCCTGCTCCTCCTTCCTTCCCTTGCTTGGTGGGACGGACCAAGTTCTCTTCGTTATTATCCATAAAAGTTCGTCACACACGAAGTGGGCAAGGAAGCAACTTTTGGTTTGCTGGCTAATGCCTGTCATATGGAAGCGAAGGCCTGTGTTCTTTCAATGGTTGTGTGAAAATTAACTGTTTATGTGTGAATTCAGTCTTGTTGGTTGTTATAGATAACCTTAAGTTTTATTAAAATATTGTAAGTGTATATTTAGATGGCGTAAGATTGTATTTGTCATCGTATTTTGACGCGTTAGAAAGAAAATAATTATAGAAAGACGACCGACATGAGAGGTGCCAGAACTTAAAGCACAAACCAAAGTAAGGAAATTTAATTTGGAATAGTATTCTAAAACAGTGGCTATCCGGTTGCCGTAATATAGGAAAATTGTTTTGTTGGCCATGCCTGTTGTTTCTCAGGGAAAAAAATATATGGAACAAGACTGGGTTTGGTGATATCAACAAACTTTATATAGCATTGAAACGACATGAGAACTCTCAGACTCACATTATTTCAACGGTGCAGCTTGTAATGTTCGGGAAATCTCGAATTCACTGTCAACTTGACAATCAAAAGCGTCTGATGATACTACATAGAGAAATAATGAAACGCTTGATTGATATCATCTGCCATTTAGGAAAGTGGCAACTTGGCCTCCGTGGTCGTGACGAAAGCGTGGATTCTATCGACCGAGGTAATTATATGGAATTAGTTGGCTTGTTGAGGAAATATGATCAGAAACTCAACGTTCACCTTGAGAACAGTACAGTATTTACAGGTTTATCGAACAGAATACAAAATGAGTGAGTTGATTGCTCTCATTTCGTTTATTAGATACCACTGCTTCCCTCACCAAAAATAGTACTGCATGCCACTGCCATCAAATGATTGACCCAGATTTTTGTAAAACATATTATAAAAGCATTGCTCAGGAGCTTTATGAGAAGTCTCAATATAAACAGTGGTGTGAGGATATATGTTGTTGGTGTAATACATGTTTTCAGAATGTTTGTGTTGCAATTTTGTGTGTCTGATTGACCTTGATATTCATTTATTTCATATACAAGTCTGTTCACACTTAGGTATCATCATGTACAGTCAGAAATTATTTTTCCTGGTTTTATGTTCAGTTTTCACATTATTTAAAAATGTTGAGATGGAAGTTGCAGATGTGGATTTTATTGCGAATCCCAATTTATTGAATAATGAAACATTTTTAAGGAAGGTATGTAGTTTGATTTTAGCTTAATGTAAAGGGGTTGTTTTCATGATATTACTTGCTGTATAGGTTTAGGACTTGAGCACATAGGTTAGGGAAATTGCAGGAATTAATTTATTTGGGAAACACTTCATGAGTATTGTTATTCTGTTATAATTTTTGTATAATCACTGTGCTCTGTGATCTGTGCTTTCATCCACCATATTCTTCAGTGCGTTGAATATAGTGAGTTATGCCAAAAAATGTATTTAGTTCCACAGTTGGGCCCTTAAAATGGATTTGTATGAATTAAATTAGTAACAGAGGTACCATAATCAAGTTCAATCAGTCTATTAAAAGGTTCAGAGGATATACAGGGTATTTTTTATCTGATGCTTTATAAAATTTGTGTAACTCACTTGTTATTGAACACAGTTGTATGAAACTTTCACAGATCATCCTGCACGATTGGGAAATTTGTTACACTGAAACATGGTCCGTGTGTTGTCTCAGAAGGTCAGGAATTTATGCAGTTGAACAAACTTGTTCACAACCGTGGTTAGAGTTTCCATAGAAATGATTTCAGTCTCTGATTAGGTGGTAGTTTTCAGTTCCAGAAATGTGTTTGGATTTTTCTAAACTATGTGACATTCAAGACACCCAGACTGTCCTCCCGTAGTGCCCACACTCCTTTGTAAAACTTTATTTCTTTCTGTTCTGTTTTTGACAGTGGCTGACTCAGCTGTATTTTGTATAGACACAGTGAGAGGTCATGATGACAGATTTACTATGTGGTGCTGGATGAGACCCTGATCTATTGTAAATGATGCACTTTTCTTGTACTATTGTTATTGCCTTACATGCTGCACTGACAACTTTTTACACATGAACATGTGTGCCATGTTTACATTCCTTCACACTTTTCTTGCCACAGTTCCCGTTTCCGCAACCTGTTTAACAGCCTGATAGGTAGTGTTACTGAATGGTACCACCTGAGTAGAAAACACTGATGATTGTCTCCACAGCAGCACAAGACCTAGCAGAAGTGTAAAAGGTTTTAATAAAGACTTTCTGATTAATTGTAGTAAGTGTGCCATCTCATAACTCAGTTCAGCATTGCCAGAGGCAAGAAACAAATTTTGCAAGAATGTAAATGCATAAACAAATTCACAAGGAAATAAAAACAGTTTGCTAGGAGGGAGATACTTTACCACCTTTCATATTTTGTTTTCAAGGCCACAAACCTACTGTACAATAAGCTATCAGCCAATGCCTATGAAAAGTCTCACTGAATAACATAATAATAGAATACATGCCAGTTTTGATGCAGAGGATCATGGTGGTGATATGTTCAGATGCCTTTCACCTTTGAGGAAATTCTTTGATTGGTTGAATGAAAGACATTAACCATCAAAGTGTTCAATTCCTGTCCTTCCACAGCCTCTCTGTTCGTGTAACTATCCCCTGTAGACTATTTTCCGGTCTTGAAAATATAAGTCACCCTGAATACCTCAGTGGTAGGAGAGAGCATCACATACACAGCAGATGAAATGAGAGCAATTTAGCAAACATCCTCCTAACAGTACATCCCAAGATGGAAGAAGGCAGTGAGAGCAGTGCATTGGTACTCAAGGAAGTTATTTTGAAGGGGGTGTCACTAAGCTGTATGTCATGATGTGAAGTTATTATTGATGAATTCCAGGAACTTTCTGAACAAACATATTTAAAATGGAAAGGACATGTTATAAATGTGTAACTCAGATCTTGGGTGTATCAGTAACGGAAGAATGGAGGTTAGGGTGACCACCAGTCCTGAGTTTTGCAGGACAGTCCCAAAAATGCACTTAAAATCCTGTGTTCTAAAACTGAGTTGAAATGTCCTGCAAGCAGCCAGATGAACTCTTTCCCCATAAAATCTAAATGGCAACACTGTTTAGGTACAGACTGAGAACACACGGTACCACTATCTGGACACTGGGAACTGTGTTCTCCCCCACTCTGCATGTACTCATTAGCTGGCTGTTCTCATTGCTGTTACTACTCTGTGTTCACTCTTAGTGAATGAAATAAAATTAACGTTGCTATAGTTTTAAGCTAGATTTTGCAGGTGTATTTTTTATCTGTGTAATCATTCAAGTTTTTACCATTGTGGCAATGCTTGCAGGACAACACGATTCTTTGAAAGAACCTTAAGAGAAATATATTTGTTATAACAAATGGTTAGTGAAATATGCGTGGTTGAAACAACTACCTGCTAATAACTCAGGTATTTTACAAAGTATGTAATAAGTTATTTACTAAAGTTAAATCGCTGCAATGACAAAAGCTTGTACTATACATTATTGACATAATCCCCTATCCCCACCCTCTTATGCTGGCATGCAGCAGACATTGTCACACTGTCCCACAATATGGAAGTGAAAAGGTGGTCACCCTTGTGGATGTATACAGTTATTAGAAAAATATAAAAGACACAAATTTGAACAAAGAATAGACATTTAAGATTTAGTAATGTACAATTATTGTGTTTTTTTGACATTATCCATCATCCTGTGTTTTAAATTAAAAAACAGGAGAGTGGATTATATCCGTAAACAGTAAGTGTATTAATATACCATCATCACAAAATTTAGGCCGCATTTAATAATGTAATCTAACATATTGCCTTTTTCTAACTATAATGTGGAAATATATAATTTCTTATAACAATTTTCAGTGCATGGTTGTGGACCACTGGTCAAGTCGTGGCCGATATGGCAGTGAGCTCTCTGAATGTCCATCCATCTTTTCCATAAGGAACTGCTCCCCTACTGCTGCTATGTCACTGTATCTCTCACAGTTATATTCCACTGACCCAGATGTGATTAAATTGTTTTTTCTGAGTGTCTCTTCCAAACCCTGTGGCTTCTCTTCACCTCTAACCTGGATCCTATCTCATCTACTGATCCCTGTATTAAGGCAACTCCTAATCTGTTCATTGAGTTGCCATATTATCACAATTTTTGTTGAGCAAAGTAATTGTCTTTTCCTTCCTTTCAAACGTCAGTTAGTGCTTCTAAAATTCCGTTCTCAACTATCCCTTTCATCTCTCTTTCTCTCTTTCATTAAGCAGCCCTGGGTTTTTGTTTAGTTGCGCTCACAGTTAAATAATGTCAGCACTATAAATCCCATAAACCAGGGTTTCACATTCACTGCACCTTTGGGCAGTCCAACTCTTGCATTATTCTTTTGCCTCCCTTGCACTGTTTGTGCCAGTTCTCTGTAGTGCACTCTATCCACTCCCATATTTCATGGCATGTCTAAACATATTCCTCAGGTCTCACATCTACTAGTGGATTAGATACTGGTAACCAGTTATGTCTTGTTTGTATTCTGAATGTCCTAGGAGACACATAAGATATATTGCTAATTATGTTAATTTTAAAAATCTCTTTTATGTTCATGGAAAATATCTGCAAGACAGACATAGTGCCATGGAATTTACTCCAGTCTTAGCACTGGTCTAAATTTGGGGTTGAGTTATGAGGAATACGAGGGGGGACCCAAAAATAACTGGAAGCGACCTGTTGCGCGCGCATGCTTTGTAGTGCTGGGGGTCTCCCGCGACTGTTAGTGAGCTGGCGTCAGTCTGAGTTAAGTGGTTTGTCTGTGGTGCTCTGTTGTGTGCGTTCCTGTTTCAACCCTTTGGCGATTAGTGAGATGGCCGACCAGAAGGAACAAAGAGTGTGCGTGAAATTGATGAAGATCGTCGAGAGACCATTGACCAACTTTCTGAGGAAACGAATATCTCATGGAGCACGGTCCGGCGAATTTTAACCGAAGGTTTGCACATGAGACAGGTGTCTGCAAAATTTGTTCCTCGCTTGCTCGGAGATGACCAAAGAGAAAACCGCGTGAATGTTTGCCGCAACTTGAAGAGTGAAGTGCAGTTTTCCCTAACAGAAAGCAAAATTTCACGCACACTATTTGTTCCTTCTGGTCGGCCATCTCACTAATTGCCAAAGGGTTGAAACAGGAACGCACACAACAGAGCACCACAGACAAACCACTTAACTCAGACTGACGCCAGCTCACTAACAGTCGCGGGAGACCCCCAGCTAACATCACCTAGCAGCACAACTCGTAACTACAAAGCATGCGCGCGTAACAGGTCGTTTCCGGTTATTTTTGGGTCCCCCTTCGTATTGTGTAACATACACAAAACAGTAATTCACAGAGCCATGAAATATGGATTCCTAAATGTTATGATTTGCATAACAGCCAGATATGGACTTGATGTGTGTCTGCAGACACTGATCTCTAGTTGTCTTCTCATATGACAAGATGTCTACCAAAAAAAAATAGGTCTTAAATTTGTTTTACAATTCACAAAGGTTGGCTAACAAGCCTCTTTTGTATGAAAACAAATTTATTTTTTATGATCCTTTAAATGAAGTGACTCTAGCTCCTGTCAGCTTGGACGTGTCTGTGCCCTCTGGTAAATATTAGTGGATAACCCCATTATGGTCATCATTTGGTTTCCTCTTCTACCATAACTACAAGATAGTCATCAAAATTTAAGGAGGGTTCAGTCATGTTACAATATTATTCCACAGATATTACAAAAGGAAAGAAATTTGTATTTTATTATTTATCATTTCTCTCCTTTCCCATTTCTTCCAGTAGGTGTCCTGACTCTTAGTTTAAAATTTCCATGAAATCTGTGTCTGATAAAAAGTTGGTCTTTATTTGTTCCAGTTGATCGGTGTGGTTTTTGCCTGCTGCTTGGCTAGATCCATTCGCAAGGAATATGAAACTGTGTAACTTCATCTCACAGTTACTGGTTCAGGGAAATATTGAATACACAGGTCACAGGAACCAAAGGAACAACTTGAGATAATCAGCAGGGGTAAAAAAAAAAGGGCTTCGAGAAATCATTAAAACAATATAATTTCTCCATCCTATACAGAAGATTCAGTTTCATCTTAGATTTGCATTGGAAGAGAACTGTATTGTGCATTACAGATTTTGAGTTTTTCTTATTCCAGAAAAATGTTTGGATGATAGTGAAGCACTAGTCTGACAGTTTGAAATTAAGTAGAGAGATAAGATTCTGACCTAGGTTATTTTCAAGGTATAAAATTAAGCCGTTTCTTTAAAAAACTAAAATGATCGTGCTTTGCTTTGTCAGGGTTATTCAGATAATAACAATAATGAACCTAATTCCCAAGGGATCTTTTTGACTGTTATTTTGCAGCAGTATTGCTTTAATTCCTGTACATTAATATGCTGTCTACAGAGGATGAGAAAGCTCAGCATTATATTCTAGTAGCTGGCTTGAAAACATTACTGACATGCTGTATATATTGATTATCACGTCACCACTGACCAGTGTGTTAAGAAAATATCTTAGCATGTTCTGTGGAGATAGGATATACATACATGCATACAATAGAAATGATATCTTGTAACTGAGATAAGATCAGTGAAAGGTTAGATTTTCCCTTATCACCTGATGGACTCAAATTCATGTACTATAGTGTACGTGTATCGTTTACTGTTGTATAAGATGCGAGCTGTTTTCGTCTCTTCTGGATCAATGCATATGAGCTTGGAAGCCATGTTACCTTCACCTTTTGTAACTGCAGTCAAGATGAAGATGCACATAGGTTAAGTTCAAGTAACATATTACATTAATCTCCTCAGTTTTCCATCCTTGTCATGTTTATGGAAGGTGCCAGAGAAGGCAGGAATATCTCAGTGTTTATTAAAGGAATTATTTCAGAGGGGGTTGTCAAGCTATTTTCCTCCAGGGAGCTTGAACTTCTGTAGTGGTGTGAGAATTGACAGATTAAATAGGCAGGTTTGAATTTGAATTGGGCTTTGAAGATATATTAGTTAGAATTCTTAGAGTTGGAAATGTCGTAGTTGAATATTTGTGCATAAACTTCTCAGGTCACTATACAGTCACTTTGAAGTCTGGTCATACAGAGATGCAAGATATGACCTGCCACTGCTAACAGAAGTATGGGGAAATATGCATGAAAGAGCAGTTTTTAGCCCTACAGTTTAGCAATAAATCTACCCATTTCTGTGGTCTAACATATATGAAGCTAAGAAACTAACGCATACACCCATTTCCAAATAAATAATACCTGTTATTACGTGGAGAATAAAGAACATTTTCTTTTCACATTCCTCCACACTGCTAGCCAGACTGGAGTATTTGCCATCACTCAACATGGTGTTATAATCTATTCTTAGTAACATTAATATATCTTTTGATCCTTACCAAAACGTGGTACCTCTGTCCTTTCACTGTCAGGGAAGGAAAGTGTCAGTTGTATATTGACCATTATTAAAAAAAAGTTGCATGTTTGGACGTCCATGCAGTATTTCATCACAGTTTTTGTTCTTTACCTTATTCATAATTTGTAACATTACTACTAAAAAGTCTCATAAGACTTCATATAGAAAATATAACATCACTTATGTCCAGAGTGTGGGGCCATAGCCCTTTCCTAGTGACATCCTGTTGATTTTGTAATTTGGTATTTATGATCTGTTCTCAAAAGAGCACCTTTTACTATTAATGAAGCTTTCCACCTGTCCATTAAACAGTCAACATTCACATCATGGTCTGCACTTGGACAAACATGCAACATTTCATATTTGTGTGATATTACACACAGTGGAACTTCTGATCCATAATAGAGAAAAAATTATGAATTATCTTTCAGTTTATTTTCTCCAGTTAAAAAAAAATGTAGTTATAAGTTCTGATAATATAAAAAATGAACGTTTAACCATTTACATCAATGTCATGAACATAAAAGTTTGATAATCTTGGTCTGTTCTGTTCCTCTGTAAGATACGTTGAGGTTGATCATTCCAGCGTAAGTTTGGGTAGCCAGTGTGCGTCTTAATCTTCTGGGTGTGTAGTCCATTAATAGGTTCCATTCTTTCAATGTGATGAATCCAATTAAGCCTATTATTCTGATTTCTTTTATATAAATTGAATGTATTTGGTTTGTTTCTAATTTGATCTTTTAATGTGTATTCGTTTAATTATTTACAGCAAGTGATAACTATTATATTTGTACCAGCTGCCTTAGCAGTGAGTAACGAATTTACAGATTTTCTTTTGTTTACAGAATGAACTTAAGTTGTTTTCCTAAACAATTTCAAGTTGATTGGTGTTGGTAATAGAGGCAGTGTTTTCTTGGAGCAACAAAAAAAAATTTTAAATGTAGAATTCTGTAAAGGATTAATGAATCAGCAAGAATGCATATTATGAGTAAATTTCACTGTTCATGTGTTTTCCTTTTTATTATTATGGTGTATGGAGCATCATACTAAGTTCTGTAAAATATCTTAGTTTGTACATACAATATAATTAGAAAACCAGTCTTTTTGAAGAAATTTGTAACTTTTTCCTGACAAGTTATTGGTTCTGCTTTGTGACAGTGAAAAGCTGATAGCTGGAATACATTTTTGTTATTTTATTTGTTGTATTGAATACATAAAATTGATAAATGCTAGTTTGGAAAAACTGTCTTTGATTGATCTACTTGGTTACAGATGACTATTTCTGTGATCACTTTATGAACATGTTACTTTGAGTATGGGTCTGAGATGAAACTGACACAACATTGGCTGTTTAATGTCCCGCTAAACAGAAGCTGTTGCCCTACAGAATCTTTATTAAAGGTGGAATGTCTTTGAAACTGATATAATACTATAAAGGAATTCATTTTATCATGTTGGCACATATATAATACTAATGCTTCGTGTGCTGTATTTCTTATATATATTTATGGAGTTTGATGCCTATTCTTTCTGAAAACTTGAGATTATAGTTGTAATATTTATAGGGATTTGTCTTACATATTTTGTACTTACATACTGTATAGAAGTCATGGTTCCCTCTAATTGCAACCAGATCTCTCAAACTCATTTCTGTTGTAACTTATGTGTTTTCTATTTTTATGTAATTTTTTATTGACACAGTTATTATAATTTTTGTTAGACCTGTATCATTTGGAAGTTGTGTTGTTGAGTAAGTATGCATTTAAGAGACTGATGTTGAGTTAATACACTGCTAATTTTAAATGTAAATCCACTCTTCACAGTTGAAGTGTCACCCAAAAGAATGGGCGAACACACTTTCTTGCCTAGTAATTTTTTTTATTGAACACTGAGTATTTTGAAGACTTGAAGGCAGTTGTCACAAATTTTTAATGTTTCATTACTGTTAAATGTTATATGAACTCATTCTGAAATCTTAGTCTGAAAAGAGAAATGTTGTATTACATATGTATGTGAACTAAACAGAATACAAATTGCTTATTGTAAAATGTTTGTGTTGAAACGTTCTCATGAGAATGCATAGTCCATCACTAAATCATTGTTTAATAGCATTAGGAATTTCTTCATCTGTCCTTCAAAGTGTGTATATTCATTGTCAGTGCACTTCATACCTAGTTAGCTGTAAGAGTTCTTGTCAGACCTTCAGTATGAGGAGCATTTCCTACTGTAGGATACTATACATTAGTGTAAAGAAACCTGAAAAATTATTTGAATGGATTTTATAGCAGTAGTATCAGGGTTGAAATCTATTTGGGAACAACAGTAAGAAATCAGAATATGATTCATGAAGAAATTAAGAGCAGATTAAATTCAGGGAATGCTGGCTGGCACACAGTTCATAATCTTTTGTCTTCTTGTTTGCTGTCTAAATATACATATGAAAATGTTCAAAACTATAATTCTGCTTTTATGAGGGTCATCCAGAATGTAAAGACTGTTTGGCAATTAAAAAAATATTTTACATCATTACTAGAGGTCTTAAAATATTTTTCTACATAATTCCCATGAAGACTGGGGCACTTGTATCATGTGATGAGTTTCTGTATGGCTGCATCATAGAAATCTGCTGCCAGTCCACTGAACCAGTCTTCTTCACTTCTTCATTGCTACCCATGTGCATGCCACCCAAAAACGGCTTCACGTGTGTGAACAAGTGAAAATCACTTGGAGCCAGATCTGGACTAGGAAGGATGGAAAGAAAAAAGTCCCAGGCAAAGTCAGCAAGTAACACATGTGCACTAGCAGTTTTTATTTTCTGGGTGACCCATGTGTGTGTGTGAGAGAGAGACACTGTCTCCCAATAATGTTTTATTGTATTTTTTTTTTTTTTTGCAGAATGTACATTTCTGTTCTGTATTTTGGCCTGCTTAATTCACTAATGCTTCAAAACAAGTTTATTCTTTAATTTTAGATTTTGAACACACACCAGGATTCTCAGAGATGAGACATACTACTCTGTCCAAAAAGTATGCAACCTTGGGCCAGGGGGAAAAAAAGTTCTGTATCTGGGTGGCTACAATACCTAATCGCCTTCAAAGTAGGCCCCTTGTAACTCCGCACACTTAGCCCAGAGGTCCTTCCATCACTGGAAGCAATTCTGGAAGGCTTCTTTTGGAATGGCGTGCAGCTGCTCCGTCACGTTCTGTATGATGTCCTCGCGGCTGTCAAAACGGCAGCCTTTTAGTGGTGTCTTCAATCTCGGGAACAGCCAGAAATCACAAGCCATGTCAGGAGAGGAGGGAGCCTGGCGAACCTGCAGAATGCCGTGCTTGGCCAGGAAACCCTGGATCAGGTGTGATGAATGAGCTGGGGCGTTGTCATGATGCAGCTGCCAGTTGCGTGCATCCCACAGCTCCGGTCTCTTGCGCCGAACTGCATCATAAAGATGGTGGAGGACTTCTTGGTGGTACTCCTTATTGACAGTCTGGCCTAGTGGTGTGTACTCATGATGCACACCACCCCGGTAATCGAAAAAAACAGTCAGTATCACCTTCACATTGCTCTGAATCTCTCGTGCTCTTTTGGGCCTCGGGGATGTTGGATGCTTCCATTGTGATGCCTGGACCTTGGTTTTCAGGTCATATCTGTACACCCATGACTCGTCACCAGTGATCACAGTCTTCAGGAACTCAGGATCCCTGTTGGCGCACTCCAGCATGTCCTGCGCGACCTCAAGACGGAGTTGTTGCTGCTCCGGCGAAAGCAGCTTAGGCACAAATTTTGTTGCCACTCTTTGCATGCCCAAATCCTCAGTTAAAATTGTGTTTGTGGAACTTCTGCTGATCCCAACCTCATCAGCAACTTCACGGATGACCAAACGACGGTCCTCCATGATCAGTGTCTGCACTTTTTCTATGACATCAGTGTTGATGGTCTCCTGGAACGCTGCTCACTCTCCACCGACATATAGCTATGTTTAAAGCAGCTGAACCACTCTTTTAATTTGAGTTACCCCCATTGCATCATTGCCGAAAGCCTGCTGAATTTTGCCAATTGTTTCCGCTTGGGTATCCCCAAGTTTCTGACAAAACTTAATTTAGTATCACTGCTCCAAGCGTTCTGTCATCTTGAGCGAAACAAGAATACGATGAACACGTGTTACACCACTTCGCTATCTGGCAGCCACAGACGCATCCGGCAGTGTTGTGAGTCAGCAAAAAATCACACATGCGCACGAAAGTCCCTTCTACCACTACGCTCAGTTTCCTCACCCCTTTGGCCATTACTTACAGCAGAAAAAATAAAGTCGTATACTTGTTGGACATACGGTACATAGGTAAGAAATCTTAAAGGGGTGTGAAAATTTGGACTGAGGGTGGGGGATGAATGGTGGTCAAAAACCAAATTGGTATCAGTATTGTTAGAACATAGCAATTTTAAGTAACAACACAGTAGTGTCATGTCATTCCTTTATTTGCATATTATATATTCTTATAGTCTTTACATAAAAAAATACCACTTACAATGGTATTTTGTCATGTTAAATTGACCTAAGGCTATACACATTTCAATGTGTAATAACCCCCCTCCCATCAATAAAAAATTACATTTTCAAAGCAATGAACTTTACAAATATCAAGGAAATGCAGGAAAGGTTACACTTGCATTGAATATATGGATATATGTGTATATTTAAAAAAACACCAGTAAATACAATTTTTGTTCCATTAAATTTAGTATAGTTAAATACAAATTAAAGGCGGCAACAATTGCTGCAACTTATTCTTTTCTATCCATATATAAAATAATCATGGTCTAGAAAAATTATCATTCTCTAAGAAACACTTGGACAATTTTATTTAACTTTATGTTATGCCACACAATTTATCCTAATTGCACATCTCTTTTCACTTACCCATGAGGGACAAATACTATCGTAACAGAAAAGAAATGAAGTACATAAGTTTATCAGGAACCTGGAACCTTAAAAATGGCAAACATTTTACTATGTAACTGCTTTTTCCACAGACCTCGGGAATCGAGCACTATAAAATTGGCTGCCACTCAAAACTAATACACTCTACACGACAACAGCTTATACCTTCTGTGGTTTGAGTGGAATCATGCACAGTGAGTTACAGACGTACGACTTACAAACTAAGGACACCTGAACACTGACGTACTATCAACTATTTTTTATAATTAAACCACTGACCTTTCGTATGACAAGTGGGAAAATGTCTCAAATGCAAGTGCTCTGAAAGAAGCCAGGACAATTTCCTCGAAAGTGCAGCCTAATAATGTTTAAGAAAGTACATATGTACTGTACACCAACATTCAGACTTTTTCTCATTCACAATTTCACCAAATGCTCAACTAAACTTATGACCACACACACACTTGATATATGGTACACAAGGTCTCCCAAGAGTGGAATAGGTGGAGGGATTATGCCTCTACAAATGGGAATCAGTTTCTTCTCAGGTTTGCAACAACAGTCTGGTGTACAGCTCCTTCCCGCCCATGAAAAATTTGTGCCTCCCACACATCACGTTGCGTAACGTTTTGTCCAGAGCCTTGCGATACGATCATGTTCTTCTCGATTCTGTAGATACTGTGTTGCTATACTTCCAACCAGGGGATCCGCTAGAGGAATGAACATAGCATTTTGACTGTATTAACAGTATGTTAACATCTATTCACATAATTTGTTTTAACAGTATTTTTGGCACTACATAATTCTGTTTCTTTACAAACAATCTGTCAGCTGAATTGGCTATATACTGTTGAATTACAGAAAATTTATGACCTGGAAATGAGACTTGTGAAATAACTGTAGCCTAGTTGAAGATAATATTGCAGTATTTGGACAAGCTCAGGAAAATAAAATCTCATTCAGGAATCCACAACCCGTAGGAAGTGTTTAGTCCTAAGTACTGACATACAGGGACAGCTTCTAGTCAAGTCAAGAACTTTTATTGTCACTGGGTCTACTGATGCCAGAGCCTGAATGTTCTTGACTGAGGCCCTGCTAATACCCACTGGCCTGAACTATACAGAGCCAAAGGTCCTCATTCCATGCCCATCCATCGTTGGGCACTGACAAAATATGTGGTAGGATTTCCTGGCCAGATAGCTTATTACACTGTAGCTCCCCATCAGTGGTAATGTGCCAGAATGAATGGCATAACCAAACCAATGGTCATATAACCATTAAAGTGTGTACAGGGGCACTATGTGCATGTACATAACTTATAGTATGGCCTCTGCACCTGGACTTGAATACAGAGGCAGTGAGAGAAGTCCACTTGACCTACATTTCCCCATAGGGACACACAAGTTGAAAGTTGCACTGAAATTGTGGGAAAGCACCATGGAGATAAGAAAGATCTCTGCTGGTGAGGTAGATGTTGATAACCTTAGGGACCTTGAACACCAAGAAATAAGAAATCATTCTAGGAGAAAAATGAAAACTATTGTGGTGAATACATGGCAAAACAAATATGAAGATGAAATAATGAATATGGTGATGCTGTCACAGGCATTCAGCATGCAAAGGAAGCCAGTGAGGAAGAAGAAAGATGATTATGCAATGGTACAGGTGTTGCAAGAAAATGTGATAAGACAAACATGAGAGAAAGGAACAGCCGCTGATTAGGTTGAGGACCAACCTACCTCAATGGGACTACTGCATGTGTCACTGTCATCATTCATATCACATTCTGACTCTTTTTTTTTTTTTCCAAGTATACCCTAAGTGTAGCCAGTCATGTCAAACAGCATGTGAATCTTTATACCAAAGCATTTACATTTCTGAGGAGTGTGTTGCTTGAAAATAACTCTCCCTTTGAAGAGTACAGGAACTTCATCCTGTTAAAAAGTGAGTAAACTTCAAGAGATATCACTGGGCTTATCAGAGATCTACTTTTTCAATGTCTGCCACAGCTGTCAGTCTTGTAAGGTCACAGTACAGTCACAAGAATCTCAGTACATGAGAAAATCAGTTGTTTCCTCATGTGCAAGAATGAATCAGTAAGCTTTCAATGCGTCTCTAACATGCCCCATTTGTATTATTATAGGCAAAAGGTCTTACATCTCTTGTACAGTTGTGTCAGGAAGTGTTCAGTGTCAACTGTGTGTACAAGGTCCAAAATTTAATTCCTGTAATGGCTGTACTGTGTCGCTGGGGTGCTGAGTCAGACAAACTCATGTACCTAAGCACATCTGGACATGTTCCAACTTGCATTTACACGAGCCACAGACCAAATGAGTTGTTTGTTCTCACACAGCAGAGGAAGTAGTATGTGTCCATGGTATACTGTTAGCAGAAAAATGAGTGACAAGACTCTGGAGCAGCAAATAAACATCAAGTTTTGTGTGAAGATTGATAAAAGTGCTATTGAAAAGTAAGCCCTATTAACAGTGGCTTACAGTGAATATGCTATGAAGAAATTGAGTGTTTCTGAATGGCACAGGCAGTTGAAGGAGGGGCGAGATGATGTGCAAGATGACACAAGAAGTGGGCAGCCAAAAACACAAAGGACAGATGCAAATGTGTACAGAGTACGAACAAACGGTGAATCAACAGTGCAAGTGCTGACATGGTTACGGGGAATCTGTTTGGAGGAAAAGACCCAAATGCTGGCCTGACGTGGATTCTCCACCACAACAATGCCCCTGCACATGATGTGTTAAAAGAGTTCACAAGTTCCTGGTTAAGAAATCCATTACAAAAATGGACCATCCACCTTACTCACCTGACTTGGACCCCTCTTAATTTTTGGCTCTTTCCAAAATTAAAAAAATGGCCTGAAGGGACAAAGATTTGCTGATATTCCTGACATCCAACACAATGTGATGTTACTGCACGGTATTCTGGAAAATGATTTTCAAGACTGTTTCTGATAGTGGCACCATTGTTTCACGGAGTGCATAGCTTCACAGGGCCATTCTGGGAAGTAAATTGTCACACCTTGTAAACATTGCTTGTAGCACGCATCAGTTAGTCTCTGCCATCAACAGCTGAACAACTTGTGCAGAATATCTGTTCATATGGCATGCTTCTTGTATCCTCAGTCCACTAAGACTTCCAACAAAATTGTGATATCACCATCATCATCCAATCCTACAGCGCAACTGAGCTCACTTTCACTGTGAGATGAGATTAAATAATCACCCACTCTCCTAAATAAGAGAGACAGGGAGACAATGTACATGTGTGTATCACTCTTGCCCACTAGCAGAACAAGACCTCAGATCAGTTACTGTCTGTCTGAAACTTCTGATGGTTATTTACTTTCCACCTTCACTATCAAACCCCCTCCAAAAACTGCATGAATTTTTAAATTTGTTGTATATGAATGCAGATCATTAAAATCACACAGAACAAAATGCCAAGAATCATGGTGCCCTGCCCTATGGGATCTAGTAAACTATATAAAATTTGAAGAAAGTCGTCTTCTGGGATCTGGCGCCATGTATTCTTGGTTTTAACCGACGTTTCGGAGGAACGTATCGCTGCAGCCACTGCTCTCTGTGTTCGCATAGCGATTCACCTGCCCTGAAGATGGAGGCGATACGTTCCTCCTAAATGTTGGTTAAAACCAAGAATACACAGTGCCAGATCCCAGAAGACGACTTTCTTCATAGTCATCGCCATGATAACCTCAAAACTTACATATATAAAATTTATTTACCTGGATTGCAGTCAGTAAGTAGTGAGCAGATGGACAGTAACACTTTGGATATGGTGAGAGCCGGAGACCAGTTGTCTTTCAGGATGTCAAGACATATCACACCTTGACTGTTGATGTTACAGTGATAGATTCTAGTGCGAAAAGTTACCTGAATCAAAATAAATTCAAATACAACCATTACAAACTACATTATATAATATACATCTGCATAACAAATCACGTAAAATGTAAAGAAATATTACATATCTGAAAATATGGCAGATAGTCAGGTTAAATTCATAAATTTTCACTCCTTACCTTAGGAGGTTTAAAAGGGTATTCTGGAGAAAAATGAATGTCCAGAAAGAAAACTCCACCTTCATAAACTGATCCAGGAGGACCCAAAATTGTTGACACCCATTCATACAAATTGTCTCCTTTTGGACCGGCACTGTAATTAAAGCCATTATGAAAACATGGAGCATTTTAACATTTTTAATTATATCTGCTAACAGAACATTAAACATATGTAGAAATACCTGCAATTTGGAGGAGGGTCCAGAGTAATTTCTGCAAGTTCTTTCTGAATCCTGTAAAAAATATTAAAGGTAGATATTAGTAGACTAACAGAAAATGGGATGAGACTTTTAGGAAGTACAGAAGAAAAACACAAGTGATAAGAAACTTGAGAAATAAGAGAATTTAAAGATAAATAAATAGGAAGACGAATGAAAACTGAGTAAGACTGTATGGGCCCATTGTAAGAATGAACAAAGAATCCCAAGGAAGGTTCAGAACATGAAGCGAAAAGGAAAATGTACAGCAGAAAGACTAAGATCAAGATGGGAACAAAGGTGTCATGCAAAAGGAAGATAGAACATGGGAAGAAACTGAGAATAAGAAACTTTGGGAATACAGATGGCTTGACAACTCAAATAAACATGGAAATATTTAAGGAAAAAGAGGATGTACACATCATAACATGTCTTTGTCGAAGTCTTAATTGAAAAATGGATCTTTGGGAATAAGGTATCAAAAAGGCTATATTAAAAATGAACTTTACAGTTCAAAGTCCCCTTGTACTCAGATACATAAATAGTTGCATTCCTTGGATCCTGATGTTCAGGATGTAGGCAGTAAATGTACAATACACCTGGCCTACTCACAACATGTGAGTTTACAGAGGCCAGTAGCACATACATTTATAACCTCAGTCTAAGTGTACGGCATGTGGATAATGTTAAGAGACTAATAATTTTAAGTATCATTTCCTGAGCCTTGCAATACACTACATTCAGAAGTACCTACAATGCAATATGGCTAACAATACAAATCCTAAGAACAAGATACATAACAACAGATCTCAGTACTCCAGACACATGGGTCAAGTTCAGATTGAACTTGGTGATGGAGTCTTCATGCCAATAACACAACTGGCTCATAAATCTATATACCAACATGTTGTTCATCGTTAATTTATTTTTCAGAACACCCTTCATGATAGATGCAAAAAAAAAAAACACATATCTACCATCAAATTGAGGTAACTTAGTTTACCCATAAAGTATTGACATTAAATACATATACATGTGGTATATGTACAGGTACATAACAATACCTTTTAGCTGAAGTGCTGAGTGCCTTAGACATTTTTGGATTTGGCTTTGTGTCTTTGTTCTCAGTCTTGTTGTCAGTCAGAGAGGCTGTGCCTCGACCCCGCCCAGTCCCACTTGACCCTGCCCCTGACATCAGTCTGAAAAACAATTACCAGAATGTAACTTAAAATGAATTAAACCAAGAAGAAAAACACCTCTGGACAATCAGGTAATTTAAGTGTAAGCATTTCAAGGACAGTGTGGCTAAACAGCCAAACTGTCACAGTTCAAACAAGTCAGTTTGATTAAAATATAACTTCATACAAGCCTAACATGATTTCTGACAAATTTCAATTTCACGGCGAACATTACTATTTATAAATGAGACTGAAAATCCATTTATAATCTATAATCTATGCTGTTACCTACATGATGTACTAAACTGAGGCATGTCCGCCATTTTGTAAAAACATCTAACATTGGTTACTATTACCCATAATAAACATCATATATCATTCACTACATGTTTTATTATAAAATTCTGTACTTTATAATAACGATTAGTAATTTTATATTTTACCGGTGTGATAATTTGCTACTTTTTACAAGCTACAAAGTAAAATATTCAGAACTTAATTAAAGTAATGGAACTATAAACATCTTTTTGAAATGTACTGTGACCTCATTACAATTAAACACAACTATACTTTACTCAACTATAATTTTAATAAGTTACATACGCAAATAAAAGTTCTTTATTCAAGTAGCCATGCATACACAACCGACAGACATCCGTAACTAATGTGCGGGATATTACAATTTGCATTCATCACCCCCTTGCACTTCACAAAAGAAGGATATATTAACACACATATACTCAAGAGAATATAAATTCTTGAATGAAGTCTCAAAGAATTATAATAGAGCTTCTTATATGAATCTATAGAATTAGTTTGAAATAAGTATTTCTGATCATATAGGTAATTCTTCTCTTACACTTTGGGGATATAAGGAAATAACAGCACCGTCAATATTGTACTGTATTTGCCGACACACGTTAATTCATATTTTTCCTACTAGATGGCTTTCTTTCGAGAATCAACATGTTCACCAACTTCATTTTTTTATGCCCAAAGTAGGATTAGGAGGATTAAATTCCAAGAGTTATACAGAAATACATACACTTTCTTCAGCTCACTTCTGTAGATTTCATTGGCGTAATGTGTGTGATTAGCATCAATATCCTAGTTACTTTATTTTTATATGAAATTAAAGAACTTAAAGAGTACAAGAACCAAGGACAAGAAGTTTAACTTATATTGTTGGCAGCACGTGGAGTGTTGGTGTATCATACGAACGCTAATAAAATGACGTCAGCGGGTTCAGCGGATGTCAGTCAGGTCCGGTCAGGTCGTCAGTCAGTAGCAGTCAGTTGCAAGTAGTAGTAATCAGTAGTGGTTTCGTTATATATAATCCGTGGCTTATAGTTGTTGTTTCACGTCAGTGCTGTTACGTACGTGGAAGGAAATCCTGGTGAAGAAAATAACAGGAACAAAGATTATTGTGTAAACGCGTAGTATACAGTTTATAGTACCTCTCTCAGAATGGGTAAGCGACAACACCAGAAAGACAAAATGTAAGTGGTGCTCGAAGAGATTAGCTAACTGTTTTTGAAAATTGTGTTCTCGAAAACGATTTTACAGCTCCAGTTTTGTTTTTGCAAATTTTAACTACAATTGTAAATAGAGAATGCCCTCTTCATGAATGTTGGATTAGAGAATGCCCTCTTCATGAATGGTGGATTAGAGAATGCCCTCTTCATGAATGTTGGATTTGGAAAACTGAGGAATCTGGGATTTACCACGAATGAACTATACCGGGAATTGCAATGCTGAAAGGAATTTAACCTAACCAAACTCAACATAAAATAATGCGTAATGTCAATTAACGCTCGTTTTTAGCCTACTGTACTTATTTGAAGAGCCAAAAGGAGGAATATAAAATCACCTTACAGTTTGTTTATGGTTGCTGTCGTTGCTTGGCAGCGGTTCAGTAAACACTTTACCGGGGCAGCATACATACGCAACAGTAGAACAACACTTGGATGCCGTGTTTTCTGTTCTATGTCTGTAGTGTGATACATATATTCAAAGTATATTGAATGCAAGTGGGCGTAGACTTAGGCCCCCTGAGGCTCATCATAAATGAATGGACAGAATATCCCCTTTGTCAATCACGTAAAATACCTCGGTGTAATCATTGGTAAGAGGATAACATGAAGATTGCACATAGAAATGATTGAAGCCAAGGCCACCAGAACATTTAGTTCCAGTCCATAGCCAGTCGCTATACCAACTAGGCTATCACGGCTCCAACCTTCCATATGTATAACAAAATTATGCAGGCAACAAGTAGAAGTCATGAAAATGAATATGTTTGCAGTATAGGACAAGGTGAAGCCAGACATAGAAAATATAAGAGATTTAAACTTGGTGATTGTCAAGCTTAAAAACAGTGTGATCAGCAAGATTGTAATGCACAAAAAAAACCGAATTGTCACAAATTCTGAATTGGTGAAGTCCAAATTAGTAAGACTTCAGTGTATTGAGTTTTGTGAAGAGCATTCAGACTTGGCAGCTTTTGAACTACATTTTGTACTACCCTATTTATGCCTGTATCACCTTTGTATGGGGGCATGTGGTAGCGTAGTTGGTTGAGGCACTGTGCTACAAGCTGGAAGGTTGCGGGATTGAATCCCGATGAGGTGAATTTTTTCAATTTACCTAATCCTTCCAGCCGCACTATGGCCCTGGGGTCGACTCAGCCTCTAACAGAAATGAGTACCAGGAATATTCTTGGGGGTAAAAGGTGGCCGGTGGGTAAGGCTGACAGCCTTACCATCATCTATGAGCCGATTGTCTAGAAAATGTGGGAGCCTCAACATCTCAACCCTATGGGCCTCCATTGCCTGTTACAGGGATACCTGTACTTTACTTTATCACCTTTGAATGAAATTTTAATATGGAGCTTTGAAACACTATAAACATTTTATATGGGTAAATGCATACTATATAGTGGTATTTTTGTTATAGGTATCTTACTTATACAGAATGGACAACATTGTATGGAGGAAAGAGGGCAGGTCCAGAAACAACTGATTTCAGAAGATTATCATTTGACCATTGTTGTTTGTGCCTTCAACCCTTTGAAACCCCATACTGTGACAATCAAGGAAACATTTTTGAACTTCAAGCAATTGTTGCATACTTGAAGAAGTTTAGAACTAATCCTGTAACAGGAGAGGTAGGCATATAGTTTTGTCTCAGAAATGTGTTATTTATGTCATTTTCCTTCTGTCAATCTTTTTTTATTTGCTTATAGTCAGTGTTTTCTTTTTAAACACATGTTGGTTGCTATTCTTGTGCTTGGTTTTTGCTGAAAGATGAAATATATGATGCACTAGTAGAAGGGGGGGGGCAAGCATTAGCATAGTTGGTTGAGGCACTATGCTACAAGCCAGAATGTCACGGGTTCAAGTCCCGATGAGGTCTTTCAATTGACCTAATCCTTCCAGCCGCACTATGACCCTGCGGTCGACTCAGCCTCTAACAGAAATGAGTACCAGGAATTTTCCTCGGGGGTAAAGTGCGGCCAGCGCATAAGGCTGACAATCTTACTGCCATCTTTGAGCCAATTGTCTAGATAATGTGGGACCGTCAATGTCTCACAACCCTATGGGCCTCCGAGGCCTGTTACAGGGATAGCTTTATGTGTTTTTTACTAGCAGATGTGTTATTTTTGACAATGTAAGATTTGAGGCTTTCACGGTGGTGACTATGAAGAAAGCAGTCTTCTGGGATTTGGCACCGTGTATATGTACGTTCCTCCGAAACGTCGGTTAACACCACATATACACGGTGCCAAATCCCAGAAGACTGCTTTCTTCATATTTTTGACAAGTTTGCCAGTTTTCATCAATTGTTTACTGGTCTGCATACTGATGGGAAAAAGGAACTGGTTGTAATACAGAGTAGCAATATCAATTCTTGACTGTTTTGTATGATGTATATTCATAAATATTACCAGATTGTTTAGCCCTTGCGGTGTCCAAATCAGTCAGGACAGTGTTTAATGGATATATAAATGCTAGCATCAATCAGGATGATCCTCCATGTTCAGCATATTTGCAGCTTCCTGCTGTATTATTAGAATTATTATGTGAATAGTAGTATCCACTATTCACAGTTTTTATACTAGGTTCTACAGTTTTAACCCAGATCATGTTTGATGTGTTATGCATAGGAGAACTGTGGTTTGTTGCAGCCACTTGAAGCAAAGAACTTGATAAAGCTGAATTTCCATAAGAATGCTAAAGGAGAATACCATTGCCCTGTTCTCTACAAGTCATTCACTAACCAGTCTCATATTGTGGCAGTCCGTACTACTGGAAATGTGTTTTCTTATGAGGTAATGTTTAACAGTTGTTAAGTAAATGCTTTCTGACATGGCTGCAAACTCAGCTGTTTAAGCAGTAAGGCCAGTTTTCTCAAGGTTTAAAACCTCAATTTTTAACACACCTGGAAATTATGACATCAGGAAGATTTCTCTTTACATGTTGCCTAAACCATTATCTATAGATATATTGTATTAGTCATCTATCAGCCATGATGTAAACTGCAAGCAAAAATGTTAAACCAAAAGTTATATCAGAAATTTTCAGCTGTTTGCATTTGTGGATTAAAGTTATATCAGACATTTCTAAATGTTGGTGTGAAAGTGTTAACATTTCTATGTCAGGTTTATTTTAAATTTTGCTTTGAATTGTTTGTTGGTTTTACAAAGTGGATTACGTGTAGACAGATTATTTTGGATCAAGTTAATATGTTCATTTGTTCTTCATTCAAGCATATATTGACCCCTGTTACCCCTGGTTGTTGTAGTTATGAAAGTAATAATGTGATTTTTCTACATACCAGGCTGTTGAACAGCTGAATATAAAGACAAAGAGTTGGAAGGATCTCTTGAATGATGAAGCTTTTCAGCGAATAGACTTGATTACACTTCAGGATCCACAGAACATTGAGAAGTTCAATCTAACAACATTTCATCATTTGAAGAATAATTTGAAAGTTGAAAATGAAAGTAAGTAGAATATGTCCCATCAGAATATGGTGATATTTTTCTAAAAGTGTCTAATAATACTTCTTAGTAATGGTGTGGGAGTATTTTAATTGTCATTGTCTGTTAGCTTTATATATCTGTCTGTGTCTCTGTTTTCAGCTGAAAGCAAAGGTAATGCCTTCTGTGGGACCACTTAGATAAATACTAGTCCTTATCACTAGATCCTACAGTTTTTCACTTTGCCTGAAGAGGGAAGTCTGTCTTATATAAGCATGGAGGGAGATGGGGCAAGCTTCAAAATCTCTCTTTTGTAAGCATTGTTTCATTTTTATGGAACAAGGTGGGAGTTCCGCAAAGCCTTTGTAACTAGGCATAGCACTAGGAGGCCTAATGCCCTATTTCTTTGCACTGTTTTGTCATCGAATATTTTTTTCATGTTATAGGATCTGAGAAGGATACTGGTGGAAATCTTAAATCTGTTTCCATGGAAACAAAGGAAATTTTGGAAGAGTTGAACAGAGATTACAAAGCCCCAGAGATAAAGGAAGAGGAAAAGAAAGTTGCCGACAAATTCAATGCTGTAAGGGAATTTGAAATATATATAAATTGTGGCGTGTTCTTAAGCTAAGCCATTTGAAATCTTCCAAAATTAATAACTACATAGCTGCCAAATAATACATTTTTGTTCTTTATCTTTGTGTCTTGCACTAAATAGTGAAACTTGTAAATATTACATGTAAGAAATAAAAGAAGTCCCAGTGCTTCTCATAGAATTCTCTTGTGCAAAGAAAGGTGTTTTGTGTGACACATCATTGATATAATACACAGCATAAGCTTTGATATAAATATTAGATTTTGAAAGTTAAAAGTTCATATTTTCAGGATGCCTTTTCTTGCCTTTTTCTTTCATAAAGTCAAAACTTTGGATGTGGAAAATACCACTCATTATATGCTTTCCATAAATCATAGTAGAAGGAAGTGGAACAAATCAAAGTGTAATACATTACTTTCATAAAATACTTGCACATCTGTCATCTCTCCTGGCTACTGATCCAGAGGTCCCAGGTTCGATTTCTGGTGCTACCAGATTTTCTGAGAAGTAGTGGCTCTGGAACGGGGTCCACTCAGCCTCATGAGGATGATTGAGGAGCTACTTGAATGGAAAATTAGTGGGTTCGGTCTAGAAACCAGAAATTAATGGCCATGGGGGATTCGTTGCACTTACTACGCAACACCATTTTACTGAAATGGGCAGTAAATGTCTAATATTTCATGAGTGAGTTTGAATGTGGCATTGTTAGTGGATAGATATTTCATTAAACCATACTGCTTATTAACCAAAATACTTTGCCGTGCCATAGCTCAAGTGGTTAGTCGCTGGCTTCCCACCGCGGCGGCCTGAGTTCGATCCCGGGTCTGATCAAGTGGGATTTGTGGTGGACAAAGTGGCTCTGGGGCAGGTTTTCTCTGAGTACTTCGGTTTCCCCTGCCAATCTTCATTCCACCAATTGCTCCACAATCACCCTCACCTATCAACCTATCATCTGGAGCTGGTGAAATAGGCCAGAAGTGGCCGCAGTACAAGGGACTTAGTCCCACCCCACTAGCATTAAAAAAATACTTCTGGAATTCAATTATGCTTACCCTTTTATACATAAATTTCACAAAAATGTTTAGAATATAGAGTTAAAAGAGAGCCTGCGCGAAGTTGTAGGTTCCCTCTGCCATCTGCTATCATCACCATCACCGTATTAGTCAGAATAAATTAAATACTACCCAGAGAGTGCTCCTTGCTGAAATTCCTTGTCATGTAGATAGGTACCAGAAAGGTTGAAAGAGATAAAAATTTGTGCTATTGCAGGTGTAAGGGGGAGAAAGTAAGTGGTATAGGCTCTTCTTGAGCATTTGAGGTTATTTACCTGGTCAAGGAATTCCATATTTATTATGTACCAGTATTATAGTTGCAAGTATGCTTGTACTGTATTCCTTTTATTCAACATTTGATTGCAATTTGCATTTCTCTGTCAGGCCCATTACTCGACTGGAGCTGTAGCTGCAGGTTTCACATCAACAGTACTTGCACCAGAAACAAAGCATGAAGCAGCTATTATTGAGGAGGATCTAGTTCGATATGAGAGAGTCAAGAAAAAAGGTACAGATCATTCAGTATTTTATTCTGATTAATTGTGTAGGTATAGCAAAAGCGTTCTTTACATTTGGATTTCGTTTTTGTTATACCTTGTTCTTTATATGTGGAATAACCTATGCAGATCTTCCGTAAGTTCTTCCATGTTGTTTCTGCTGTGTTTCATTTTTCATTATATAACCATCATCATCATCATCATCATCAGTAATCTGTCAAGACGACAGGTCCACAGTCTTTTCCAAAACAATTTCTCCACTTAATGCGATCTACAGCTTTCTCCTTCAAGTGACAATATCCTCTTCTGTCCCCAAGGTCATCCAGCATCTTCTTACATCTTCTTCCTCATCTTCTTGTCACTTCTATCCGCCCCTCTATCTTTCCTTCGATAACTTCTTTTAGAAGGCATTTTCTGCGTAAAACATGACCAATCCAATTAGCCTTCCGTTTTCTTATTTCATGTAGGATATTTCTCTGCTCACTGGCTCTAATTAACACTTCTTCATTTCTCACATAATCGGTCCAACTGATCTTCTCCATCCTTCTCCAACACCACATTTTGAAACTTTCCAGATGTTTCTGCTCTACTGCCCAAAGTGTCCGTGTTTCAGCCCCATGTTCCAAATGTAGCATTTCACTAGTTTCTTCCTCAAATTTAAGTCCAATTTGCTGGTAAAAAGATTCTTCTTCTTGAATGCAGCTTTTGCCATGGCAATCCTGGATTTAATTATGGACTTAAATGAGATACAGTTAGAACTCATAAGTTATGGGAGCAGGAATGTCTCTTGGAGACACAGAAATGGATTTAAAGAAAGATGTTTGGTGTTGCAAGGTGATTTAAGGCTAATAGGCCTGACATAAGCAAGAAAAATGCACAGTGAAGAGTGGCTACAAGTGATAAGACAGTTAGTGTTCAGAATCACATTTTCCAAATCTGTGTTTAGCAAGGATCAACTGTAGTGTAAAGACAAATTTACATTGGGAACTTTTTATAAAGAACTTGTATTCTATACAAGTTCTGAATCAAATGGAACAAGGTTCTGAGACATAAAGTTCTGTTCATACAAATTAGTTATTCTGTATCATAAAGTTCCTTGTATTACTTGACAGCCAATTAGATTTTGTGTTTCTGAATTTGTACATTGTGTATAAAATCCTTTTGAGTGCCTTATTTTTTATCATGGATTTCACTTGTGATTGATTTATGCTAATGAAATGACAGTTAAACTCTGCAGCACCATTGTTAATGAAAGAAATGCAAAAGAGGATTAGTCTGTGGAAGATAAAGAATTTTGAACAAAACTTTCATGAAACATCAGCAGTTTTGGGAATTAACATGACAGAAATGAAGAAGAAAATACATAACTGTAAATCTCAGTACAACCAAGCAGAACAGCCTTCCTCCTCCTTCTCCTCTTTCCCCCCCCCACATGATGCTCTATTTAAATGCAAATTGTCAGGTGGATGATGCTCATAGCAATCCACTGCCATATAATGTTGGCACTGAGCCATTTATATAACATTTTCATCTGCAAATAAATTAATTATTTTGAATTCATTATTCACCAGTCATTCCATTATTTGATGGTGTATAATCTTAGCAATTGATAGTGTGATTAAACACGCCAAGAGTACATCAACTGCAGGTACAGAATATACCTTACGGAATTCATACTCCATTCTCAACCCAACGAACTGTACCTACCCAAGCCCTTAACATGTTAGTATGTCATTACAGTACCCAGTATTAAGTGATGGTATTTTCACTCCCACTTAAGTTCTTATGTCTGCCTTGTTGTTATTACCAAACGTAAGAAATTAAAATTTTGACATTTGGGTGGCACAACGTCTGTACCAAATTTTGTGAAAATAGGATAACTGCTTCAGATTTGAGATGGGGGACAGAGACAGACAGTCACAAACACACATGATATGGTTATTTCATAAACCTATTTTATTTCCTTCGGAGAGAAAAGTAGGTGAAGAATCTTCATTCCCACCATCTGTGCTGCCTCTCCCATTTGACACTATGTCTTGAACTAAATTATTTTTTAATTTAAACTCTCCGCACTTGCAACTTTTATGGAAAAAATCCATATACTTGACAAGAACATAGAGTTCCAGACAAATGTTTTACATAATTTCCCAATATAAACCCAATGTTTCTGATCACACACAAATTGGATTTTTGGACATGTAATTTATTTGACATTAGGTGGAACAATCGAGTAGATTTTTCATTCTGAACATTTCTTAGCGAAGAAGTCTTTGATGTAATATGTAAAGTGTGTCTAAGTACATCATATAGAAGGAATGGAGGTAAGGAAGCAAACATTGTAGACCTTGGTCCCAGATGAAGGTGAACGGTCCCTTTTAATGTTCCCATGGCTTTATCCCTGGGGGAAAAACCCCAAGTACTTTTCTGATAGGATACTAGGAATTCTCTGCCACTGCCAGGAGTCACATCCTGGTCACACAGTCACTTTAAGGTAGCTGTTGTGGCTGATAATGTTCATTATTAATTTTTTGTATTGTAATACTAAGAAATTGTTTTCTTTACAGGGTATGTTCGAATGGTTACTAATTTTGGACCTCTCAACTTGGAACTGTATTGTGACATGCTGCCAAAAACCTGTGAAAATTTTCTGAAATTGGCGCAAAGAGGTTATTATGATGGTGTCAAGTTTCATCGGTCCATCCGTAACTTCATGGTTTGTAATATTAAACATTTTTGTTTATCAAAACTTTTTAACTTTGTGAAGACTCATGTGTCTTGAACATGTAGGTAACCTATCAAACCACAAAATGAGTACTTATTTTATTTAAATAGCAGAATAACACTGAATACTGGATATGTAAAATACAGAATGTAGTTGATGTTTAAAGACTGCTGTCGTTGTGGTGTTCAGGAGATAGTAATTGTAGTGTCCTTGCTGTCTCGAGAAGTCTTTCCCAGGGTCAAATTCTCCAAATTGGGAATATGGCTGAAAGAAGTAAAGTTGCAATTGTGTGAAAACACTATGAAGGATTGTAGGAGTGGAGAGGTAGTGCTACACCAGGGCTAAGAATAGAATGCTTGGAGCTTTCCTTTTGTACCTTCATGGTGTAGCGCTTGGTCATAGGAACTACTTTACCTTCACATATTACATGTATTTTGTGTTTTCTAGTGAAATCTTCAGGCATTTTGTGAGTGACTATTTTTATTTTGCTGCTCAATTAAGTAGTTTTTATTTGTTGTTACCCCATTGTTTTATGTGACAGAGTAAAACTATTCTCAGGAATGTAAAAGTGTATTTATCTTTTAATTAACATTCCTGTTGTTCACAGATTCAGGGTGGTGACCCCACTGGTACTGGTGAAGGAGGCGAATCAATCTGGGGGAAACCCTTTGAAGATGAATTCAAGCCAAATTTAACCCACACTGGTAGAGGTGTATTATCCATGGCAAATTGCGGACCAAATACAAATCGATCCCAGTTGTAAGTTACATTCTTCTGTTCACCCAAATCCTGCTCACAGTGGCTTGAAATTTTACCTTGTTTTCAAGCATTTTCAATTTATATTTCTTCTCAGTAGAAATCCTGACTTTAGTCTATAAAACAAGTGGCAGGATTCTTATTTTAGATATAAGCCTGTATACAGGGTGACCCCCCTATTTATCCAGTGACCTCATCAGGGGATTTGTGGGGGGATTGGATATATAATTTAGTTCTAAAGGTTGTAAACAAAAATAACATACGAGGGGGGACCCAAAAATAACCGGAAACGACCTGTTGCGCGCGCATGCTTTGTAGTTACGAGTTGTGCTGCTAGGTGGTGTTAGCTGGGGGTCTCCCGCGACTGTTAGTGAGCTGGCGTCAGTCTGAGTTAAGTGGTATGTCTGTGGTGCTCTGTTGTGTGCATTCCTGTTTCAACCCTTTGGCGATTAGTGAGATGGCCGACCAGAAGGAACAATTCTTTTAAGAAATTCTGGATCATTCTGCACTTCACTTTTCAAGTCGCGGCAAACATTAACGCGGTTTTCTCTTTGGTCATCTCCGAGCAAGCAAGGAACAAATTTTGCAGACACCCGTCTCATGTGCAAACCTTCGGTTAAAATTCGCTGGACCGTGCTCCATGAGATGTTCGTTTCCTCAGAAAGTTGGTCAATGGTCTTTCGACGATCTTCATCAATTTCACGTTTGATTTTGGCAATGTTTTCGTCATTTCTTCCTGTCGAAGGACGCCCGGGGCGTGGCATGTCTTCTGTTGACATGTTGCCAGATTTGAAACGGGAAAACCACTCATAGACCTGTGATTTCCCCAAAGCATCATCATTAAAGGCTTGCCGAAGCATCCCAACAGTCTCGGCTGCAGTTTTCCCTAACAGAAAGCAAAATTTCACGCACACTCTTTGTTCCTTCTGGTCGGCCATCTCACTAATCGCCAAAGGGTTGAAACAGGAACGCACACAACAGAGCACCACAGACAAACCACTTAACTCAGACTGACGCCAGCTCACTAACAGTCGCGGGAGACCCCCAGCTAACACCACCTAGCAGCACAACTCGTAACTACAAAGCATGTGCACGCAACAGGTCGTTTCCAGTTATTTTTGGGTCCCCCTTTGTACTTATATACATTTGTAAGTAAAGAAAAATAAGATAACCCTCTCTTTTCTAAGAAGCAATATGTGGAAAAAAAAACACCTTATGTTTGTGCTAATATGATATATATATTGTCACATGTTGGGTAAGCCACGTGACAAATAACTTCATGCTGTCAAGGGTGTAGCGAATATCGTGCTTCGCTTCTACAATCACGCACTTTACACTTATTATCACTTGTAGTATCAGAATTACTGCTTCCACTATATCTCGGTGAATGCTAGACTGCCTTCGACGGTGACTCTCTTAAGACCCCAACATATACTGCATACTCAATACTTGTAACTCGTACCTCATACTCATACTGCATACTCAATAGTCGTATTCAGTACTCATACTCAATTCTCAGTCCTCACTGAATAGTGTTCCTGCTCCTTATATAGGCTCGGCATGGACCACATAGAGAACACATTGCTGCTCGGCAACAGATATCAGGTATTGTTGTCAGGTGTGTCTACCTACGCATTGCCTAGCAGTAGACGCTCTACTGTTGCATGACATCACAGCCTAGCAGGGAGGGGTGTTTACCGAGCGTTGTTACGCAATGAACACTCATTGCTATGGATATTACTACACAACGGTCTCAACAATTTCCATTGTTTCATTGCTCAGCGATACACGACATACAACACGCCACAATATTTTAGTACTTTGGAAAGTGGATATTATAATAACACTGTAACTGTTTCTTGAACTGATAGCTTATTCAGTAAAGTAACTGTGTGTGGGCTGAATAAATAGCAGTCAATTTGGCAGGAGGTGGAGATATTTTTCTCTTCAGTTAGATTGGTGTCCTATCCATGACTCTTCACCAGGGCATAAATCGGCTGGAGTAGAAGCTTAGCACTTATGTCCAGATAATACTGAGATCTAGGATGTATGGATCTATACCTCCATGATTCTTGTTAGCCTGCTTTTCTTATTTTGAAAAAAATTAAAGTAGGCAACTGATAATCACCTTGCTACATGTTTTGTGTGCATCTGTGTCTGTACGTGTATACAACACAGTGCATGAATATCTGTACTGATCTTTATGAAACTTGGTATGTATATCATGCCATCTGAGGCCATCTCAACAGCATGCCTGGTAAATGAGAGCAGTAATACCAGCGCTGCAGTTTGCCTGAATTGACTGTCACAAAACTGATACGTATATATTGGCACCTAAGGCCACCTCAATGCTTCTCGTTAGTAAAACCAATGCTGACTTCTCTTAAATTATTAATATAATGACCTTAATATTTCTTGATTGCTTGAAAGAATCATGAAACTTGGAATTATAAATGCTGTCACGTGTTGGGTGTGTCACACGACAAATAACTTCACGCTGTCTTGGATCTTAGCGAATTTATTGCCCATTCACTCTTACACTTACACAATTTACATTTCACAACTACTCCCATCAGCAGTATCACAATTACTTCTCCTATTGGAGTCACTGCCATTCACTTCATACAACTCAATAACAACTCGTGGCTGCTGGACTTTACCTCATCTCTTCGAAGGCTGGAAACCGACTGCCAATGCGGAACTGCACTCAGTGACTTGTAGACTTCCACTCACTGATGAATACTCCTCATTATGTAGCTTCTGCACTGACCACACAGAAAACAGTTACGTGATAGCTACCACTGTTGCGTGACATGTTTAACAATTGCCTAGCAACAGTCGCTGCACGGCCTTCCCTCTTGCGTGATGTCATAGCCTAGCGGGGAGAGCTGTTTACCAAATGTTACATAATGATGGAAGAAGTGGGGAGGTACATGATGTCACTCGTGGAAACGCAGAGTTCACGTGACCCCTACTTCCTGTTGTGCCATCCATGTTAACAATACTTTCTTTCAGTAATACCAGTATTACAGCTGCTCAAATTCTTGATGTGGAAGCCATAAGCTTGTTCTTAGCTAAACACCTGTTTCATGAACTTAATGCCTCTTACTGTCCTTCAGTGGGCCTCATGTATATCTACTATGAAAAATTAAAGCATCAGAATAAAGTAAAATAAGGTTACATTTCCAAACCATAAAGGACTGTTTTCACCATTGCAAATCATTTAATTAAATATTTATGTAACTGTATGTTTTAATACCTGTTACCATGGAATTAATGTAATCAGATTTATGTGGCCATAGCATAGCATAGCTATACATAGCTGTAAAATTGTAGTGGAAGAGCAAGAGCAGAGTTCAGTTTGTTTAGGATTTTGTGGTTTGATAATGAAATATTGGCACTGGGAGCAATAGCTTTGTCACTTTAAATTGTATTAATACATGCATAGTTTTGGTTCTATAAAAATAAAATTTGTATTATTTTTTTTACTTCATTCCCCATGCATACTAACATGTATTTTCTACTTGCTGCCATATCAGATCCTCAAATTGTGGTAAAAGGAACGTAGGCAGTTAGTTCTTCCCAGAACTTCTTGTATGTCTTACAAGTATTGCTTAGTTGCAGAGAGGCAACTTTGCCCTCTTTTTTGGGGGGAGGGGTTTCTTTCTTTTAACTTATTGGGGAGAAAGTGCAAAAATCTGTTCACTGGGTGAAAGAAACAAATTTGTATGAAAAATTAATGCTTTTATTGTGATCTTCATAGTGTATTTTGTAGATAACTAGGTATTACCTTTTCATGCAGCTTTATCACATTCCGATCATGCCGTCATTTGGATGGAAAGCATAGTGTTTTTGGACGTGTTGTGGGAGGCCTAGATACACTTACATCCATGGAGCGAGTTGAAACTGACAACAAAGATAAACCAATAGAAGACATTATTGTGGAGAAGGCACAAGTATTTGTGGACCCCTACCAAGAAGCTGATGAACAGGTAATGTAATGTTGTACATATATTGTCTGCTGCTGCAGGTATATTTAATGCATATAGTATTTAGAGAGTTGGATCTACACGCTTTAGTTGCAAGACTGTTGCATCATAATGATATGCTTATATTTTCAGTTTTGGTGGCAACAGTCTGGACCACGTATATTTGTCATGCCTAAAACAGTGGACAGTTGCCAGCAAAACTGTGGTGTAATAAATTGACGAGTCTCAAATCTTAGGGAATCGTTACAATTAATTGTAAAATTCAGTTCTTCCAGATCACTGAAAAATAAGTACCACTAACTCTCGAAGACCTTGGTACAAGATGTCCTCAATCTATTTTTAGTTGCTCAGGTGGTCATGAACTTCCTCTTTTATGGGAGTTTTCACACTTAGTTGGTTAGTTATTAGAGAGGGTGGGTTTCCCCATACACTTAGACCTGTAGTGGTCCATTGTGCTTCCCTCTATGATTTCTACCAGCCTCTATATCCTACTGGTATTGGTGCTTACCATCAGTCCTGCCCAGCCAGCGAGACCGGCTCTACTAGCTGAGAGGTATCTATAATGCTTCCCCCATCTACCGTAGGTATTAGTGACTGCTGTTGGGTGGCAAACGTCCGCAATTTTGCTCAGTGACCTCCTTTGGAGGTATGAGGTTCTTTTACATGCCTTAAAGCTACGACACAGGACCCACGGCTTAAAGTCCCTCCCACAGGATTTGTTCCCTAAATTTTTCCGCCCTTAAAAATTCGACGACCTCCACTGGGTATTTGAACCCGCGTACTACGAGTCATGAGGTGGGAACGTTACCTCTAGACTACGGAGGCCGCTAGTTTTCACACTTACTCTTTCCGAGAGACAATACTATCTTCCCATTTTAAACTGTGCCTCAAAAGGGGTGTCTTCCTCTGAGCAGTACAGAATTGTGAACTCATGATTAAGTAATTTTATCTGTTCTGTTCTTCCACATTTAAATCCGAATGCTTTTACCCACCACTTGAGCAGTACAGAATTGTGAACTCATGATTAAGTAATTTTATCTGTTCTGTTCTTCGACATTTAAATCCGAATGCTTTTACCCACCACTTCTTAATGTGTTGCAGTTAATGGCTGAAAGGTTGGAAGAAGCAAAGAAAAAAGCTGCTGAAGCAGTAACAGCACAAAACAAACCATCATCTCAGAGCCAGAATGGACAGCTTACAGTGTTTCGGCCTGGAGTGGCTAAATATATCAACATGGAAGCATCCCAGCAGTGAGTATCATGCGTACATAAGTTTATAATTTAGTTTCAAGAGTACAAATATCTATAAAATGGGAAGTCTTTCTTTGCTTCTTTTGTAATACAACCAGTCATTGGTTTTTGACTTTTCTGGCAATGTTTATGTATTGCATATCATGAGGTTTCTATAATGTAGGTATGAATTAAATATTTATTATTATAAATGCCTAACACTGCAGGTATGAATAACAGATGCATGGTTACTGAAGGTACATTTTTCATGCTTTTGCAAAGTCTCTCCAATCAGCATGAGGACAGTATATTGAAAGTGGGCAAGATTGTCTCTTTCCACATTCTTTCCAACTTGTCATTGATTACTGTCATTACTGGAGATCATAGTTGAGTGGTTAGTACTGCTACTACGTTATTATATTTAAGCATCGTGTTGCACTCTATAGGATAAATGATATAATGATATAAACTCCGTACGATATTTTATGCGTAATGTTTGGGCCTGTGTTTGTGTTTTCTTAACCGCTTCGTTGTTTGTTGTTATTTTCACGTACGCATATTTTGGTACTAGTTTTTCCTTCAGACAGGTTTTGTTAAATTTTATGTTAGCGTTGCAGTGTAACAGTTTCCGTTTACAATTCATATATTTATAAATGCTTTTTGTATGACAAAAATTAATGTTAAAAAATGTTAAATTTTGAGCTGGGTGCAGTGTGACAGCAACGTGAGTGTTATACACCTGACGATGGCCGTCTGAGGCTGAAACATGTAGTGTAAAGGAGCAAGATCAAGGACACACAATATATTGTTTGCATTTGGGATGGAGTTTGTATCATTATATCACTTGACTACATTCTTGCATATCCTTCCTAATTCACATTTTGTTGTCCAGCGCATACATGGAGTTGAAAAAGCATTGATAAATAAACTAGAAAACCAAATAAACATCATTATTATTGAGACAAGAGTTTTGTCATGTTTGTTTAATGCAGTTTATTTCTTAATTTTGCAGGAAAGGACATTCAGAGGCTTGTCAGGAATCAGCTGTGAAGAAAAGAAAGACTGTTGGATATAAGCTTGTTAACTTCAGTAGCTGGTGAAATATAGGGTATATGTTTGTAAATACTACACACCGATATTATTATAATGTAAAATATTAATTGTCTGCAATAAATTGCTGTTTTGTAATCTTTTTATTTTATACAAATTTTTTAAGCATGAGATAAATCCTCTGAAATTATGAAATTTATGGTTACCATAGCAACAAATTGCCAAGCATTCACTTGTTGAGTGAATATAACTTATATAGTACATCATGACTGCGGGCAGCCTTCATTTCATTGTATCATAAACTTACATATGAACTTTGCAGTTTGTAGCAGTAACATGGTGCCCAACAGGGCAGTGATGTTTTAAAAGTCACTTGGGTTACCCCTTAATTCTTAAATACCCTTTTGTTACATTATGTCATATGTGGAAGAATACTTCCATAAGATATACCTTCATTTTTTTTTTAATTTATTTGGTGCAGTGTAAATGTGTCTGTTCACCAGTGTACACATAAAGTCTATACAGGGAATAATTTAGTGTGAGGACGAGGTTCATGGCTCTGTGCATCACGGTGACCAGTGTGCTTCCTGCTGTGAGGCACATACAAATTTTGCCAGTGAATCATCATGCCTGATGGCCGATAACATTTGGAATGGAGGAAGTAGTTAACTTGTGGACCACTTGATTGTATTATGTTACATGACTAGCAGTGTGGGAGTTTGTTTTTGATTTGTCAACAGGAGGCAGCAGTTATCAGCTCCATTAGGCATTTGTTCTCAGTTGCAGTTAGTGCACAGTGTGGAACATCATGTTGCAGTACACGTTAGAGGAACATGTATTTCTGATGTCACCCATGTGAAATATAATCTGCTAGAAAGTGCCGACATAAATTTTGTGATGAAAGAGTTCTCAGCAGACAAACAATTCATAATTTGGTGAATAAACTTGGAACAACGGCACTCTCAATAGACAAGAAAGGAAAACATAAGCATTGAGTGCTTACTGAGAAGTTATATGACATAGGGGCCCGACTTGAGCATACATTTAGAAAATCACTGAAACATCTAGCTCAGGAGATTGGAGTGTCAGAGTCTAGTGCAAGAACAGCAACACATTTGCTGAAGCCATCCAGTGTGAAAGTTGGTGTCTAGTGTGCTGTAAGTGCAAGAAGGATTGTTCTTCATATATTTCTTAACAACACTGTTAATTGCGAAAAATATCAACATGTAGCAAGAACAGCATTTTGAACACCTGTGATCTGTGAATTGTAACTACTTCATTCTGAAAGTTATTGGCCATCAGGCATGCTGATTCATTTGGAATGAAAATATGTAACCGTATGAAAAACTGAACACTTGTAATAGACAGTTTGGTAGATGTGGGCTATTTGGAAAGTAACCTCCAGTGAGCTGTTAACAAAACAAGCAATGAGAGAAAAAGAAGTATTATGTACAAAAAATACATACATACTTGAACTACATCTTAATATAGTCACTGCTGGAATTTAGGCACTTGTATCAGGGAATAAGATTTTGTATGCCTGTGTCAAAGAAGTCTGCCACCTATAAGCTCAGCTATGTTTTGACACCTTCCATCAACTTATGTTGAAGTGCTGTGATCTGAACCAGTTCTTCAGGTAGGTAAACAGGTGGTAGTCACTTTCAGCACAATCAGGGCTGTAAGGAGGGTGGTCAGACAACTCCAATAGTGCTCAAGTGAGCATCTGTATGTGGACAGCAATCACATTCAACCTGTGCAAAAATTAATACCAGATAATGCACCTGGAAGATGTGTATTCTGTCAATGGATTTTGCATCAGTTGGTCAAAGTCCCTGAGTTTTGTTCATGGATGAATCATGCTTCAATAGGACTGGGAACTCCAACATTCACAACGTGTGTGGTCAGACGAAAATTCTCATGCGACTCAATTTCACCATCAACAGTGACAGTTTTCTGTCAACATGTGGGCTGGAATTTTAAGTCACTGCCTCATATGTCCTCACATAATACAGGAATGAGTTAGTGGCCATGATGGCCGTAATTTTTTTTTAACACGCTTAAGTGAATTGTTGGAATGTGTGTTCTTCAGTAGCATTTTCACATGTGGTTTCAGCGCGGCTCTTTATGGAGTTACAGTTGCAAAGTGCTTTAGTGGCTGTGTAATATTGCAATGCCGAATGGGTCACAGACGTTAAACTTGCATACTCACCTGTCTTTAATCATCTTGTTTTTCTTTTCTGTGGGGTTATTTACAAAAGAAGGTGTATGCCAGTAAGCTGATGCTAGAGAGGAACAGTGGCATCGAAATCAGCAATTTGCAACCGAAATGAAAAATATACATGGAATCTTCAAATTCTCAGTTCCCTTTCACGCAAAAGTGGGCGGTGTGTTCATGGGCATGGAGGGCATTTTGAGCATTTCTTATAAGGAAGTAAAAATACACAGGTTGTTAATAATAATGCCACTGTTTTCTTCTACATCTATATAAACCCAGGAATATCTGACTTCTGACCACAGAAGTTAAAATTTTAATGACTAACAGAACTCTCTTTACTCTTTAATATATACCCTAGATTTTTTTTTGTCCAGAAACCATTTTATAAAATGTAAGTGCAAAGGAGGGTCAGTAAATAGGCCACAAATGGATATAAAATGTAAAACATTTGATATTCAAATCTGAGGAAAACGTTTATTTCTTGACATATCCTCCACAGACATTGATACGCTTGTGTCATCTCTTTACAGTGCATCAGAACCCATAGCATAAAAGTCTTTTGATCGTTCTCACCCACTTCCGCACGTAGTCATGCATTATCTGTGACTTTCAAACGTCCTTGAAGGAATTTCTTGACCCAGTTGCGAACTGCTTTATGCGACACTTGCCTCTGTAAATGAAAACTTTTTTTATGAATGTCTTTTTCATTGGGTCCTTTTGCCCTAAACAATGCACAGGAGGACACTCATCTATGGCAGTGCACTCCTCAAGCACGGTCACCATTTTGACTACTGAAATCAGTCCGTGTACATTGTAGATTGTCATGAAACTGGACTGTGCTGCTACCTAATGATACACATAGAACTTTATAGATTGCATCCATTAATTTTAATTAGTTGAGTTAATTTTCATAAGTGCCCGATTATGACCTCATATACACATATGGTTGAAACATGTAGCTCATTTACGTTTACATTAAACACATAAGAAATATACCAGCATCTATTATCTTTATTGAAGATATCCCCACATTGTTCGTTGTGTCATCAGTTGCAACACGAGTAATTAAATATGCATAAAAAGCCTATTGCTTCCATTACATCTATTTTACTTCAGTTGACTATTTACTGACTCCCATGTAATAATGAGGCATTTTGCATATTTCTTAAAGTTTTTCCAAAAGGAAGAGGAACACATCTGAAATTGGGTTTTGAATGAGAGAAGAACCTTTCAGTGCAGTCTTGAGTATTGCAATGTACGTGTTTACACCAAATATTGGGATACCTCTTGGACCCTAAGTTCTTGCAGCAGAGAGTGACTTTTTATGAGGTGGGGGGTGGGGGGGGGCTTACTGCCTCTGTCTTCAAGGTGCAAGGGTAAGACAAACAATAAGGTGGTGGAAAGCAGTGTGCTGCAGTATGTTGTTCCTGCATATTTGTGAAGCTTCTGGACTACGTGTCATTACATCTCATAAGATAGTACTCATAATTCAGAATCTTGTCAAGAACTGCGAGGACTCTTGCACGAAAGTGGAGTGTACTGGTGTTCATTGCACATATTATATGTTTCCAATGATTAAAAACTACTTCAAAATATATAACCCACACTCCTCTGGCCTGTCGAAACACTCGCAACATCTCCCCGCCTCCCCCCTCCACTGTTTACAAAGTTCGGTATTATCATACAGAAGAAGGAAACAGCATGCATTCATGTGTGTATTACTGGAAATGTATAATGGCCATTCCACAGTGCTGCTGTAGGACAAGCAGGAGATCAGGATGACACAGTCAGTGATGAAGGTAGGTTGTCCATGGCTATTACTATACATGGATCACTTCCTTACTTACTCATGGAGCTGAGCCATTCTGGAGGAGCTGCCAATTCTGCAGCTACTCAAGAATTTCCCAGCATTTTATGAAACCCGATGGTTCATCACTGTGTTCACAAGAGCCCTCCACTGGTCTTTATCCTCAGCCAGATCAATCAAATCAATACCATCCCATCCTATCTCTCCAAGATCCAGTTTAATATTGTCCACTCACCTATGCCTTGGTCTTCCCAGTGGACTCTTTCCTTCTGGCTTTCCCACCAATATCCTATACGCATCCTCGTCTCCCCAATTCGTGCTACATGCCCTGCCCACCTCTTCCTCCTTGACTTGATCATTCTAATTATACTTTGAGAAGAGTACAAGTTATGAAGCTCCTCATTGTGCAGTTTTCTCCAACCTCCTGTCACTTCATCTCTCTTTGGTCCAAATATTCTCCTCAACACCCTGTTCTCAAACACCCTCAGTCTATGTTCCTCCTTTAATGTCAGACACCACGTTTCACACCCATACAGAACCACAGGCAAAATCATAGTTTTGTACAGTGCGTTCAGTTAAGGAGGAAACTTCGCAACACCGCTGATCGGGCCCAACATTCCTCACAGATTGCTAATTTAACTGCTGATAGAATGAGTCATTAGCGCTGATAAACGCGCGCCGCTACAGTTACAGCAGAAATCTGTGAGGAATACTGGGCCCGGTCAAAGGGGTCAAAGGTGTTGCGAAGTTTCCTCCTTGATTGAACATTCTGTATATTCTAATTTTTATGTTTTTGGACAGCAGACGAGAAGACAAAAGGTTCTGGACTGAATGGTAGCAAGCATTACCCGAGTTCAGTCTCCTCTTAATTTCCTCCTGAATCAGGTTTCGATCTGTTATCTTTGTTCCCAAATATCTGATCTGTAACATATTTTCAAAACATGTGTTTCCTATCTTTATGTCATGATTTTGCCCTGCATTTTGGTGACGAGACAGCAACATATACTTAGTATGGACGGGTCACTACCATAACGTAAGTAATCCTTTGTCAGTACCATTGATCCATGGCTTCTACCATGGTTGGAAATGGTCTTAGGGCGAGAGCACACCAGGGAAACTGGC